GAACCCAAGTACCTGTACTTTCTACTTCTCACATTTCCCAAACAGGCTGGTTCCTTTAGTTTGAATGTGTGTTTGGTGGCGTGATCATTATTATTTAGAGTCATTGCGTGCCTATTGATTTGAACACGATCCGTGTATCCATCATTTCCTGGTCTTCTCTAAAGAAGAGGGACCAATGAAAACGTTGTCATGTTGCCGTTGTTCAGCATGGAAACATTCATTCGCTAACAATGACATTATTGTTCTATTAATATAAAGGGAGGTCAGGTACTCTTTAAAACAGCTGCTAGTTATGGGTACTTTTTACTGAAGTACATTTCAAAGCCCTCTTTACTTTGACTTGAGTAAAGAAGTTTAGTCAGTACTTCTACTTTTACCAGAGTATTTTTAAACATGAGTATCTGTACTTCTACTTGAGTAAAGAAGTTTAGTCAGTACTTCTACTTTTACCAGAGTATTTTTAAACATGAGTATCTGTACTTCTACTTGAGTAAAGGATGTGTGTACTTTTGTCTTCTCTGGCTACATCTGCCATTTACCAGAACAAAACAGAAGACTAATGATACTGGATGCCGTACCTGCGGTGGTGGATTTGCCCACGCCACCTTTCCCTGAAGCCACCACGACGACCTGCTTGACCCCCGTGATGGGCTTCTGTTTGGGGAGACCTTTAGCCATCTGCTGTTTCTGCCTCTCCTGTAACGCCTTACTGTCCACCGCCCGCTGGGAGAAACACACACAGGTGCACAATGAGAACAACACCAACAGGTGCACGATGAGAACAACACCAACAGGTACACAATGAGAAGAACACACACAGGTACACAATGAGAACAACACCAACAGGTGCACGATGAGAACAACACCAACAGGTACACAATGAGAAGAACACACACAGGTACACGATGAAAACAACATACGATACGATAATACTTTAATGATCAGATCAAGTCTGAGATGCTCCTTGCATCACAGCAGCTCCATGTGTGACATCAACAGACACATACCAAGACACAATGCATGGAAAACAAACAACAAACATTGAACATAACAGCAGGATCAGTGAGAGAAAAGCTTCAGCGTGCATCTGATCTGGATTCAGCTCTGTGATCACTGAGAGGATGGACTGGAGCACAAAGGATGCTTCAGGCTGACTTTAGTGAATCTCCATTAGGTGGTAGCAGTTCATATTCTCTGTCAGAGCATGCTTTGGGTCCCAGAGGATGCTGTTGGAGAGGTTATCAGGTTATTGTGATAGGCTGACATGAAGATAAAAAGGCGTCTATTCCAGACCTGGTTAGCAAAACTAGACACTTGAATCATCAGTTTATATGTTGATACTTTACTTAACTGCTCATGTTGTATTGCTAATGTTAAAGTATCATGATGGGATGTTTGTTTAAAAAGGATTTGAGCAGCAGTGATCAAGTCAGAATGAATACAAACATAATAAATAAACACTTCTTGTTGTAAATATGTTCTACAGCGTTACAATAAATGAACATATCAAAGTAAAAGTACATGCCTTCTAATTAACATGTGTCAAACAATACATACAATCAAATAAAAATACACATTTGGTAACATTCAATCATATTTTTTTATTTGAAAAGCTTCCGGTTTTGTTCTTCGTGCTTTCTGTCTAGCTTGACGTTAGCATGTAGCCTTTAGCTAACGCAGCTAACTGAAACACATCGGCATTGACAGTAATCTTACCTGGCAGCGAGTGAACTGCACACAGCACGCAGGTCCCGGTTTTATCTCTGTCCCGGTTCGTGAAAATGTCAGTTTATTAGCGGATATTCTCAGAAAATGAGACAGTCTGCTGTAAGTTAACTGAGACATGTTTAGCTGTTTAGATGCTACACAGCTAGCTAGCTTGGTGCGAGTCAAGCTTGCGGCAACTGCGCATGCGTGTTTTGTGTGTAGTTTATTAATGTTGACTTTTTCAATGTTCATATACAATGAATGTACTTCTCTGTAGTTGATGATACTTGCATTATCAATCCATTAATCAGTTACGGAGTTGACAAATCTGATCTTCATTAAATAATCCATCCAATTTCAATATTATCTTGATCTTAATTTGATAATTAGTGAAATTACATTCATACTTCGAACCCCTCTTTTTTAACTGCTGAATGTTTGCACAATATATATTTATCATCTATTATCTATTTGTCCTTTTATAAATATAAGCTTGCATATGATTTGTTTACTATTTTTACATTGTTTTGTGTCCAGGTAGAAGTTAATTTAATAGCGTATATTGTCTTACTTAAAAAACAGATAACATAAAAATATCCAATGATAAAATAACTAGGAGAGAAGTCGAGAGAAAGAGGGTAATGAGAAATACAAAAACTGCAAAAATAATGCGCAGCTTGGACCCGCTTTAGTGGACGTTTGCGCGGAAGCATGTTGCATGAGTTTCTGATGGTTTCTCTTTTCAATTTCCATTCACACTGGACACTTCTCTTGTTCTCACAAGTCTATCATAATAATATAGTGTTGATATCCTGAGATGACGGAGGCACGCGCTGTTTCTGTGTCTGGAGGTCTCGCGCTGCTGCAGCAGTGTCTGCGGGCAAAACTGCAGGTGAAACCCGAAGAGGAGCAAGAAGAGGCTCAGTTTGTCCAGGTGAGCACAGGTGACCGGTGTATGTTGGGATGTTCATCTGATTAGTTTCATTAATGCATTTGTAAAAAGTCAAGGAAGGGAACATATGAGATAGCAAACATGACACATTAACCAAAGTCCCAGGGCAGAGAAGGTACTCAGATCTTGTTCTTGAGTAAAAGTAGAAGTACTCAGATCTTGTACTTGAGTAAAAGTAGAAGTACTCAGATCTTGAGTAAAAGTAGAAGTACTCAGATCTTGTACTTGAGTAAAAGTAGAAGTACTCAGATCTTGAGTAAAAGTAGAGGTACTCAGATCTTGTACTTGAGTGAAAGTAGAAGTACTCAGAACTTGAGTAAAAGTAGAAGTACTCAGATCTTGAGTAAAAGTAGAGGTACTCAGATCTTGTACTTGAGTAAAAGTAGAAGTACTCAGATCTTGTACTTGAGTAAAAGTAGAAGTACTCAGATCTTGTACTTGAGTAAAAGTAGAAGTACTTAGATCTTGTACTTGAGTAAAAGTAGAAGTACTCAGATCATGTACTTGAGTAAAAGTAGAAGTACTCAGATCTTGCACTTGAGTAAAAGTAGAAGTACTCAGATCTTGTACTTGAGTAAAAGTAGAAGTACTCGGATCTTGTACTTGAGTAAAAGTAGAAGTACTCAGATCATGTACTTGAGTAAAAGTAGAAGTACTCAGATCTTGTACTTGAGTAAAAGTAGAAGTACTCAGATCTTGTACTTGAGTAAAAGTAGAAGTAATAATAATAATAATAATAATAATAATGGGTTTAATTTATAACGCACTTCATATCTGAGTTCAGATCCCGAAGTGCTACAAGCATTTAGCATGGAACAAAATAAAAACAGTACACAACCCGGTAGAATGAATAAAAAGCAGTAAAAAACAAACCAAAAAATAATAAATAAAAGGGGTGGTAATAAATAAAAGGTCTGGGGAAAGGCTCGATTGAACAGATGGGTTTTGAGGCCTTTTTTAAAAGCCATCCACGGTCTGTGGTGCTCTCATGTGGTCGGGGAGAGCGTTCCACAGACTGGGAGCAGCCGAGCAGAAAGCCCGGTCTCCCATAGTACGGAGCTTGGTCCTGGGGGGGTCTGAGGAGCTTGGTCCTGGGGGGGTCTGAGGAGCTTGGTATTGTACTCAGATACAAAGACCAAAGTTTAAGGGCTGACAAACGATTTATTTAAAATTACATAAAGAAGGTTTTTAATTAGGATGCTTGCTACAGGTAGAGGTATAAAACAAGGAGATAAGAGAAAGTAAATACAACAATATCCCTGCCGAATTCTGCATGAGATGATTTGGGCTGTGAATTGTTCGGGTGTAATAAAGAACCGGTGGTATTCCATAGTTAGACAAACAAACACATAAAAAAGTGTATGGCTGTCCATTGTTGACATTTAACAGCTGTTTCTTCTCTCTTCAGATCGACAGAGGAATGGTGATCTACATCTGCTTCTTTAAAGGAGCCACAGACGACACCCTGCCTAAAATGGGTCGGTGACATTTTTAACCTTTGACCCACATATGACATTACCTCTTTATATTTGGCTCAATGTGCTTCATTATCTCATTCACATTACACCACATGTAGGAGCCACATTTGAAGTAGTAGTTTCTGTGTTTATTACGGTACATGTTTTTGAGTCACTATAGGTGGTGGGCGTGTCAAAGGATTGGTGTGGTGACGTTTGCGGTTATATCCGGTTGCTTTTACCTGCACACTTGATGATAGATGGAGGGGGAGTGAGCTGGAGAAGGACAATTTTTGTTGACCGCACGCACGCACGCACGCATAAAAGAATATATGGATATGGACTATTGAACTTTTGCTAAGAAAATAAAAGGTCAAACGCATACTGTTGGAAAGACTGAGTTTTTGCGCGTCCACAGTGTTTTTCTCTTGTTTAGTCCCTCGCGGCACTTTGTTTGAAAGATTACTGCCGCAATATTAAGTCAACAAAAATTGTCCTTCTCCAGCTCACTCCCCCTCCATCTATCACCAAGTGTGCAGGTAAAAGCAACCGGATATAACCGCAAACGTCACCACACCAATCCTTTGACACGCCCACCACCTATAGTGACTCAAAAACATGTACCGTAATAAACACAGAAACTACTACTTCAAATGTGGCTCCTACACCACATGTCACCTGTTAGATGCTTTTATCCAAAGCGACTAACACAGCCTCCCATCTCTGCACATTTGTATTTACAACTGATCTTATAAAACTGATATTATTCTTATTTTCTATTGATGGTTGACTTGTTTATGTATGCACCTAGATACCATGGAAAAGTCATTCTACGTGAACATCTAATTGGTTAAAACCCTGATTCAGATTCTAACCCTTCCTGCTCTGCACTTTTTCTATAAATCCCTTAATATATAAGGAGTAAATATTCTCCCTTTCCCCCCCCCCAGTGTCCTCCCTCTTGAATCTGCGTCTGTGCGAGTCCGACTCGGGGAAGATGGTGTCGGTGCTGGATCTCCCCGGCAGCGTGCTGATCGTCCCTCAGGCCACGCTGGGAGGAAAGGTCAAAGGTCGAGCCATGCAGTACCACAACAACATCGGAAAAGAGGACGGAAAGCGGCTGTACGAAGCCTTCGTGTCTCTGTGTGAGAAGGAAGTGACTTCAGAGGAAGTGACGGTGAAACACGGGACGTACGGAAACAGACAAGTGCTGAACATGGACACAAATGGACCGTACACACACCTGATGGAGTTCTGAGGAAATGAAGCTTTGATTGTGACATTTGGAGCCTCTTAATTAGTGTCTGAGTATCTACCAACAGGCTGGAAACAGTGGATGAGACTATATGGGTCGAGAGCTGCACAATAACTTGATCACCAGAAAAAAAAAAGTGCGACTATTTTGTATATTGAGCAAATGTTCATGCAAAGAAATTGCAGAAAATGCTGTTTTCTACCTAAAATATGGACTTTCCCTGCTTGTCTCTGTTTGATATTATAATACAATGATTATGTGATGACTTGGAGAAACTTGAATGGACATTTCACTGTTTTCTGACGTGTTTTAGGACGTACAATTAATCTAGAGACTGATCTCCAGATAATACAAAATAATTGTTAGTTGCAGCGCTATGTGTATTTATATTTGAGTTGTGCTTATGTGATAATAATATGTTTTTATGTAATTCCCCACAGAGTTAAGTAGAAGTACTCAGGTCTTGTACTTTAGTAAAAGTAGAAGTACTCAGGTCTTGTAGTAAAAGTAGAAGTACTCAGGTCTTGTGATTGAGTAAAAGTAGAAGTACTCAGATCTTTTAGTAAAAGTAGGAGTACTCAGATCTTGTACTAGAGTAAAAGTAGAAGTACTTAGATCCTGCATTGAGTTAAAATAGAAGTACCAGAGTGTAGGAATACTCTGTTACAAGTAAAAGTACACCATTTACCTCTGAACTGTAGTGGAGTAGAAGTACACAGTAGCATAACATGTAGTACCTTTAAAGTACCTCTAAAGTGTACTTAAGTACAGTACTTGAGTAAATCTGCTTAGTTACTTTACACCTCTGGTTAAGTATAATACAATTCAGTAAAGAATATAATAATAAAAGTGTTCTTTAATCAGCCAGAGGGTGCCGTGTCTCCTCCAGGCCGGCAGGGGGCGCTCTGCTGTATTTCAGGGAAGGAAGATGAAAATGAACAGCACTCAGAAGTTTTTTGGTGACAGCAGTAAAATGGGATAATGTAACTTCCGGTTCATTACATTTGGTACAAAATAAAAGCATGTAAATAGAGAAGGCACTGTAAAAGACGGCTTTTATACAACTAAGACCTAAACATATGAAGCTACACTTATACAAAGCATGATTTGATGTGTTTAGTAATAAAAAAAATGTAAAACATATGAATCAAAATCATAATCATGAAGCTGTGATACTTATTTTGAAAGGGTCCCCACCGGAACATGTAACAAGGTAGCTGATGCTAACTTAAACTAGCGAACCACCAGAGGCATATTTAGCCTCTCGTTTGTACTGAAATATAATACTTTAGAGATTGTAAAAGTACATTTAGATAAAGCGAAGTAATACAAGTTGTTTGTGGGAACATTTTAGTGGAATAACAACGCGTTTCGAGCTGAGTTTATGTTAAACGTGACCGCTGGTGTAACGAGGATTTGTGTTTACCGGAAGCAGAATGTGCTAACGTGAAGGTGAGAAACAAAAATAATAATAATAATACATGGGATTTTTATAGCGCTTTTCCTAATGCTCAAAGACGCTTTAAATAAAATCAGAACATCTGAACATCAGCAGGAGAGGACTCTTTAAAGTAGAGACACTACCTACTGATATACACCTGAACATAAGCAGGAGAGGACTCTTTAAAGTAGAGACACTACATACTGATATACACCTGAACATCAGCAGGAGAGGACTCTTTAAAGTAGAGACACTACATACTGATATACACCTGAACATCAGCAGGAGAGGACTCTTTAAAGTAGAGATACTACATACTGATATACACCTGAACATCAGCAGGAGAGGACTCTTTAAAGTAGAGAATTAGATGTATTTTGTGATTGCATACGAGTTGAAGAGGTTAATCATTGATTTGTTTTATTTGTTTCTTCCCTCACAGATGCCTTCTTTTGAGTTGTTGAATAATGTGGAGCTTTTTGTGAAACATGGAAAGTTTCCTGCAGACGCTACAAAGAGCTGCAAGCAAGTCACCAAAGCTGCCAGCAAGAAGTTCATCTTTAAAGGTCATTTAGAGCAAAACACTGACAAGTTTACACTGAATTGCTTCATTTCATCCCACAGGCCATAAGACTGTTAAACACCTGAACTTTTGAAAGAACATCCATAACATTCATCTGTTACTTGCACTATTTCTATTATATTATATTATTATATTTTATTTGTATTTACTTGCACTATTTTATCTGTTTTATTGTGTTGCTCTGCTGGAGGAGCCTGTGACCTCAGATTTTCATTGTCATATCTACAATAACCGCTTACAAACCAAGTACTTTGCCGTACTTAGTTCCCAGTACTTAGTCCCGCCGAACTCTTTAGTCCCTGGAACTGTCCTAGTAGATCGTGTTCACACCGGAATAAGTCCCTGAGGGAGTATTACGCAAATGAAGCCGCTGACGTCACTTCTTATTCTTCTGCTTTGGGTTTAGTGGCAGGCCGCAAACAACTTCACGGCGTATACTGCCACCCGAAGTCCCGGAGTCCCGGGTAAATCGCCAGAAGCGCTGACACCTCCTCATCACTCCACTGCTCCCATGTTTTATTTTGTGTTGCCATAAGTTAGTCTCTCTCCTTTGGTGCGCTGGGATAATGCTAATAATGCTAATACAAGCAAATAAAATGGCAGCTTCACAAAACTTTTCGGAGTTTTACGGGGCGTGGTTTGCGATTCGCCCAGCCAATCAGAAATTGTTAGTGTGGCCGACACACCCACAAACCTTTTCTCCCCAGGAAAGTACCTACTCTCTAGCAGGGACTATCTGGGGGTGAAACGGTTCCCGAGAACTAAGTTCTAGTTCCAGATCTTTTTGGTGTGAAACCAAAATCCCAAGAATCGGAACTATTCCTGGGAAAAGTACTCCGGTATGAAAGCGCCTAATGTAGCTATGTACAAATGACAATAAAAGCCTTGAAACTTGAATCTATAAGAGAACATTTATCACTCAATGGTAGTCACCCTCTGTCTGAAACCAGAGCCAAGTCTGCTCTGATTGGTTAGCTGGCCGGCTCTGTTGTGATTGGTCCACTGCTTAAAAAATATTTTCTAAATTCTGAAAAAAGTAAAAATTCTGAAAAATAAAGATTCTGAGAAAAAATTCTAAATTCTGAGAAAAAATTCTAAATTCTGAGAAAAGTTCACAATTCAGAGAAAAAAGTCTAAGGTCGAATTCACACCAGCCTTGTATAGTCCGGTTGAATTGAACCCTGGTGCATTTACCCGTTTGGTGCGGTTTGTTTGGGTCGGTGTGAACGCAGTCCGAGACCTCTGAAGTGAACTAAACAACCGGACTCTGGTCCGTCTAAAAGAGGTGGTCTCGGAGCGCTTGCTAGTGAACTCTGGAGCGGATCATCGCTGGTGTGAACGCAGTCCGCACCAAAACATAGGAAGCGTAGTATTTACGAGTCACATGAACGCGGATGTCTTCCAAATCTTTAGCGAAATAATCTTTAGCGAAAGAGTCTTTCAAGAAAGTGAAGCAGGATGAAGTGTTGAACAGTGTCGTGTAAAGTAAAAATGCTCCGTCAACTACACATACAAGTCAGAGCCACCTGTCGTCGGTGAAACCTCCTCCTTACTGCAGAACGTCTCTCATTATGTGCTATAATGTTTTTTAACGGACGTTGTCTGATTATATAATCATATGCGCGGGCCACTAGAGTCTGTTGATCTCCAGATTAACAGCAGCATGAAAAGAACCTGCCGATACTCCATGGCGGAGGCTCCGGTAGAAATTGCCGGGATTTGCGTTTGAAAAAAAAGTTCAAAATCTGAGAAAAATCTGAGAAAAAGTTTTCTCTAGGAATTTTTACTTAAAGTGGACCTATCATGCTATATTTTAATAATATAGTGTAGGACCATACCTATATAAGGCATATTTATACTTTATTTTTTTCAAAATACCAAACAGATCATGCATTTTAGCCATGCCTCCTTTCGCTCAATTTGCACTTTTTTAGCCCTGTTTTTGCAAGGGCTGATTCTGTGAGCACAGCACCACCTACAGGTCTGGCATATGTACTACAGCGTCTCCAGCGCTTTCGAACGGCAATGGCCGTGGCTGTCTCCTCCTGATTGGTGGAGTTGGCCCAATAGCCGTAGCGCCACCGTCCTGACTTCAGGACAGTGTTCAAATCTGGATCAGTTTTTATCAGATCCGTTGCAGCCCCTTTTTTAGAGATTTGGGTATGGAGGAAAATAGAGAGGGTTGTGTTTTCTGACACTTGGTGAGTTCCCTGGAACACCGGGGACACATATTCATGTATAAAATACATACATTTTGCATGATAGGTCCCCTTTAAATCCCAGTTCTTTATTTGTCTCATATTGCAGCACCTCTTTTCACGCTCTGTCTGAAACCAGAGCCCAGTCTGCTCTGATTGGTTTACTGGCCGGCTCTGTTGTGATTGGTCAACCGCTTAGAGATGTCCCGCCCCTTAGCCTATCACGTACAATGTGTTGGAGCGCTAGCCAATAGGACTGTTGCAGCTGGTAAAGGTGGAACTATTTTCAGCTGATTTGTTTTAGTAGTAATTAAAGAACGTCTCTTTGTGCTATGGTACTTGAGTTACTTATTACTTTCCTCTATTAATCCACCTCACATAATACAATAACCTGAGTGTATTTCCTCTCTCTCTGCTGCAGATGGTTTTCTGTGGCGTCATTACAGGGGACGCCTGCTCCGAGTTGTAAAAAGTGACGAGGAGGTGAAGGAAATTATGATCCGTTTCCACGACAACAACAACCACGTCGGTAGGATTAAAGTAGTGAAGGAGATAATGGTGAGTTCATAGGATATCATCAGAGCTGGGAAGTAACTAAGTACATTTACTCGGTACTTAAGTACAATTTAGAGATACTTGTACTTTACTTGAGTATTTCAATGTTTTGCTACTGTGTACTTTTACTCCACTACATGTATTTAATACCTTTAGTTACTTCACAGATGTGGATGAATGATGTGAAATATAACCAAGTGTTAAATCAGACTTTAGTTCCACCTGGAGTAAATCCACAAGCTACCCTGCAGTATACAAAGTCATTCAAACTAGCTGCACCTTTACCAGCTTTGAGAACACTTTCATGATCAATCATTATAAAACATATCATATATATTATTCTGAAATGGACCAATCTGCACAATGACTACTTTTACTGTCGCTACTTTCACTATATTTTGATGAGAATACTTTTATACTTTTACTTGAGGAACATTTTGAATGCAGGACTTTTACTGTAACAGAGTATTCCTACACTCTGGTACTTCTACTTTTACTCAAGTACAAGATCTGAGTACTTCTACTTTTACTCAAGAACAAGATCTGAGTACTTCTACTTTTACTCAAGTACAAGATCTGAGTACTTCTACTTTTACTCAAGCACAAGATCTGAGTACTTCTACTTTTACTCAAGTACAAGATCTGAGTACTTCTACTTTTACTCAAGTACAAGATTTGAGTACTTCTACTTTAACTCAAGTAGAAGATCTGAGTACTTATACTTTTACTCAAGTACAAGATCTGAGTACTTCTACTTTTACTCAAGTACAAGATCTGAGTACTTCTACTTTTACTCAAGTACAAGATCTGAGTACTTCTACTTTTACTCAAGTACAAGATCTGAGTACTTCTACTTTTACTCAAGCACAAGATCTGAGTACTTCTACTTTTACTCAAGTACAAGATCTGAGTACTTCTACTTTTACTCAAGTACAAGATTTGAGTACTTCTACTTTAACTCAAGTACAAGATCTGAGTACTTCTACTTTTACTCAAGTACAATATTTGACTTACCCGAGTACTTCTCCCACCTATGGATATCCTTTTGATCTACAGAACAAATAGTTTAGGATAATATGGTGAACAAAAAGTACATAAAATGACGTGTTTTTCTTCTGTTTTTGCAGCTGATGTTTTACTGGGTTGGAGTGACGGAGGTCGCGAAGGCCTGGATCAATAAGTGTGAAGTTTGTCAGAACCGAGTTCTTCCAGAAACCAAAAAACCCTCGGTCCAGTTCTGCTTTGTCTACGGCTGCGAATCCTCCAGCTCCATCTACCCCGAACTCAGCTTCCACAGGTTAAACACCACCTTTTGATGATATGTTAAAAAACAAAGATTGGTCTGATTAAAAAGGACATCATCTGCTTGTTTTCAGGCTTATATTTGTGTTTTGTTCCTCTACTGTTACCTGTTTACATCCTGATCAGAGTGCTTTAAAGAGATAATGAAATCAGGTTATGCTAAAAAAAAATTCATCCAACAAATACTTTAAAAAAGCTGTGTGTGTCGTAATATGCTGATGATGTTATTCTCTGCCTGTCAAACGTGGCAAAGTCATTATCAATTATTAAGTTATTCAGACTCATTTTGAGTAAACTGTTTTTCAAGATTTCAAGACATGCGGGAAGATCTGAAAAGCAGTTGGTCAGTGTTAGAAAAATCTCACTGGTTCCCGGCTTGAGCTTTAGGCTGCAGCCACACGAGAACGGTAACGCAAACGAACCGAAATCGTTATCAAAAAAGTCTTCCGTCCACACGCAATAGGCACCAGACACGTGTCCGTTCACATGAGACCGCTCGAAAGCGCTGGAGACGCTGTAGTACATATGCCGGGCCTGTAAGTGGCGCTGTAAGTCCGCCAACAAAATACACCAAAAGCAGCGAAGAAGACTCAAAATTATGCATTTTTCTCAAATTCTGACTTTTAAAAAAATCTGACTTTTTTTTTCAAAATTCTGACTTTTTTCCTCAAAATGACAAAATTCTGACTTTTTCTCTCAAATTCACAAAATTCTGTATTTTTCTGAATACTTAAAAATGTTAATAATCACTGGTCCCCGGCTTGAACTTCAATCTCAGGATCCATGTATCTGTGATCCTCTCCAGAATGGAAGGAGTCATCACATACAGAGCATCAACTAGTTCCTGAACAGTGTCCTTCACATGCTGATATCCAAGAGAGGGAGTTACACAGTCACAAGATGGAGGAATAGAAAGCAGTATTCAATGTTTTACTTCAGATTAGCTCCACGTCAGAAATGAGCATGCTTGTCATATGTCTATCTCCATAGAGGCTGAATCATCATGTTTAATCACATAGCTATCATATGCCTCAAACAGTCCTGATGCTCTTCTAGGTAATCATACATCCTGTCATGTACAAAATACTGACTTTTTTTCCAAAATGTTGGCTTTTTTTCCAAAATGTTGGCTTTTTTCTCAAGAGAATTCGAAAAATCTCAAAATTGTGACTTTTTCTCAAAAATCTGACTTTTTCTCAAAAATCTGACTTTTTCTCAAAAATCACAAAATTCAGACTTTTTTGCAAAAATCTCAAAAGTCAGTTTTTCTCAAAAGTTCTGACTTTTTCTCAAAAATGCTGACTTTTTCTCAAAATCTAAAAATTCTAACTTTCTAAAAATCTCCAAAATCTGAGTTGTTCTCCAAAATCAGATTTCTTCAAAAAATTATGACTTTTTCTTAAAATTATGACTTGTTCTAAAAATTATGACTTTTTCTTAAAACTATGACTTTTTCTAAAAATTATGACTTTTTCTAAAAATTATGACTTTCTCAAAAATCTCAAAATTAAGACTTTTTCTCAAAATCATGACTTTTTCTCAAATTCTAAAAATTATGACTTTCTCTGAATACTTAAAAAGTGTAATAATCACTCGTCACCAGCTTGAGCTTCAACATCAGGATCCATGTATCTGTGATCCTCTCCAGAATGGAAGTAGTCATCACATACAGAGCATCAACTAGTTCCTGAACAGTGTCCTTCACATGCTGATATCCAAGAGAGGGAGTTACACAGTCACAAGATGGAGGAATAGAAAGCAGTATTCAATGTTTACTTCAGATTAGCTCCACGTCAGAAATGATCATGCTTGTCATATGTCTATCTCCATAGAGGCTGAATCATCATGTTAATCACATAGCTATCATATGCCTAAAACAGTCCTGATGCTCTTCTAGGTAATCATACATCCTGTCATGTTCACAGCTACAGTTGGGATACCTTTTGATATCATGTGTACTCTCATGTTGGAAGAGGACATTCAGTGTTTTCCCAACAGTCAGCAAATCTAAGAGATCTGAAGTTTCCTCTGTTCAGTTATTTTAAAAGTTAATCTCTGCAGGTTTCCAGAAGATAAAGAGATCCGGCAGAGATGGTTGTCGGTGGCTCAGAGAGATGAAAACTCTCTGAGATCAAACTCTTTTCTCTGCTCCAAACACTTTGAGCCGTCTTGCTTCACTCTGAGCAACGAGGTTCAGCTGACTCTATCACCTGACGCCGTGCCGACCATCATCCCAGAGACAGAGCAGGAGGACCAGGTGACACAACGCAAGACACACGTTATTATTATTGAACATTATTAATAATATTGCACATGTTATATAGCTTATACATTTTGCAGTGCATAAATCATCAATTAAAGCCTATTTGAATCTGTCATCCTTCTTGTTTTCCAGGTCCCTGTCCCCTCAGAGGAGGACTTCCTGTTCTCTAACAGCCTGGAAGACCTCTTCTCCAAAATCTCTTCTCCTCCTTCCGCCATGGAGCTCCAGGAGCATCAGTACTGCCTCCAGGACCCAGAACCCACAGAGACCCACAAAGACATGGAGCAGAAGAGGAGGTTCCTCAATGAGTCCAGCTTCAAGGTGTTCAACCACATCGCCAGGTACATCATGACATTACATTACATGACATGACATGACATTACATGACATTACATGACATTACATTACATTACATTACATTACAGGACAGGACATGACATTACATTACATTACATTTACATTACATACAGACATGACATTACATTACATGACATTACATTACATCACATGACATCACATGACATGACATTACATCACATGACATGACATGACATGACATGACATGACATTACATGTTACTTGTTAGACGCTTTTATCCAAAGCGACTTATGGCGCATTTCCACTACACAGCCTCGCTCGGCCCCGCTCGGTATGGCTAGGCCTCGTTAGGACTGGCTCACTTTATGGCACATTTCCATTACAGTTTAGGAACTGGGGCAGTATCTATAGTAACGCAGTGTAGGCGGAGCCGTGACGTCATCTTCAGAGAACCCCAGAAAAACAACACAGCCGTTAGCTGTTAGCACTCAGAGCTCACAGCTCCTCATATCAGTTCAGAAACTAGACCAAAGTGAAACAAGTACAAACCACAGACTGCCTGTGTCATGGTGAATACAGTCGCTGCTTTATTTATGTCTGTAGGCCGTTGTTGTGAGTGTGGACGGTCGGAGCATATACTGCGTTAGCTTAGCCAATCTCCATTCAGCAAACACGCATTTTAAAAGGTTTTTCTCCTGCCGTCTGTCTGCAGACTTGTCAAAGCATTAATTCATGGTTTTTACTAACCGGTATCAGTATGTTGTTACTTCTGCATCATTTTGAAACGTGTATTACAATTAAATCACGGTCAAATATGTCCATCTTGTTTGTAGTTGTAGCCCCCTTGCCAGCGATGCTCTCTCTAGTTAGCATACTCAGCCCGACTCAGCCTCGTTGTCTCTGGCCCTAGACCCACGATTTTATGAGGCCAGAAAAACTGTGAATTAGGACCCCGCCGGCCGGTACTAGGCCAAGTGGAAACGCAACCAAAGACGGGCCGCTGACGTCACAGCTCTCTTAAACCGTGCTCCGCGCTGTAGTGGAAACGCGCCATTACATACTCAGTACTGTGGCAATCCCCACAGGAGCACTTTGGGGGTGGAAGTGTCTCAGGGACACAACGACATGCTGACTGCAGTGGGGTTTGAACCTGTGACCCCCTGATCCCAACAGCAACTCACTAACCCACTGCGGCCACACACATCACATGACCCCTTTAAAGTGTTACAAGATGCATTTTGTTCTGATTGAATTAAATGTTTTTATTGCGTCCTGCAGGTATCTGAGCCACAGAGTCTTACCGATGCAAAACAGGAAAGGCATTAGTAGTTTGAAAAGGATGACCAACCGCTTTGCGCTAAAAGGTGAGTAGAAAGAGTGATAACACTTATTTAATCCGTCTCTTTTTATCCTCAATTAACCAGATTATAGCAGCTGACTTAAGATAAATTACTTAAGAAGCAGAGGTGGGAAGTATTCGAGTACAAATACTGTACTTAAGTACATGTTTCTGGTATCAGTACTTTACTCCACTACTTATTTTTCTGACCACTTTTTACTTTCTACTTCTACATGTGAACACAAATACCTGTACTTTCTACTTCTTACATGTTGAACACAAATACCTGTACTTTCTTACTTCTTACATGTTTGAACACTAATACCTGTACTTTCTACTTCTTACATGTTGAACACAAATACCTGTACTTTCTACTTCTTACATGTTGAACACAAATACCTGTACTTTCTACTTCTTACATGTTGAACCAAATACCTGTACTTTCTACTTCTTACATGTTGAACACTAATACCTGTCTTTCTACTTCTTACATGTTGAACACAAATACCTGTACTTTCTACTTCTTACATGTTGAACCCAAATACCTGTACTTTCTACTTCTTACATGTTGAACCCAAATACCTGTACTTTCTACTTCTCACATTTCCCAAACAGGCTGGTTCCTTTAGTTTTGAATGTGTGTTTGGTGGCGTGATCATTATTATTTAGAGTCATTGCGTGCCTATTGATTTGAACACGATCCGTGTATCCATCATTTCCTGGTCTTCTCTAAGAAGAGGGACCAATGAAAACGTTGTCATGTTGCCGTTGTTCAGCATGGAAACATTCATTAGCTAACAATGACATTATTGTTCTATTAATATAAAGGGAGGTCAGGTACTCTTTAAAACAGCTGCTAGTTATGGGTACTTTTTTACTGAAGTACATTTCAAAGCCTCTTTACTTTGACTTGAGTAAAGAAGTTTAGTCAGAGTACTTCTACTTTCACCAGAGTATTTTTAAACACGAGTATCTGTACTTCTACTTGAGCAAAGGTTGTGTTGTACTTCTACTTAGTAAAGGATGTGTGTACTTCTACTTGAGTAAAGGATGTGTGTACTTCTACTTGAGTAAAGGATGTGTACTTTGCCCTCTCTGATAAAAAGCATTTCTCTTGTGTTTCAGACGGTGTGCTGATGTACACTATAGTCTCTCCTCCTGTCAGAGTGCTACGCAGCAGAGAAGAGGTTAGCAAGATTTAAATATATATAACATCTTAATGAATCCTGTATCAACATCTTAAAAAAGATTGAGCTCTTTCCTGTCTTATGTTCCACTTTCTAGCAAGTAAATGCCAAAAACACCCTTAAAAAAATACAAAAAAGACTTTTAAAAGACTTTTAAAAGAACCATAAGTTTTCTGTCTTTTGTTCGACAGGTAAACTCGATCTTGCGTCAGTTCCACGACGACCCAGGATCACTCTGCGCTGGTTTTCTGCCAGAGAGAGATCACGAAGCGGTTTCTTCTGGGCCAGAATGACCCGGGACTTGGCCCGCCTGATGATCTCTGCGTCAGACCTGCATGGAACAGAACCAAGAGGGAGGTGGCTCCGCTGCAGCATGAGGAGCTGCACCAACAGCTGTGGGCCGGTGGAGAGAGGCCTGGGGCTCACCTTCCACAAGTAGGAGGGGTTCTGTCCAGATTAAGGGTCTTTAAGTTATCCTGTAAGAAGAGGAACAGACAATGTGGTTAGAGAGATAACTGGCTGTCTTAAAGTTCCCCTATCATACTGCTTCTCATCAATATATCACAGGTCTCAGATATATCCAGAGCCTGTCTCTGATTGGCCTGAAACACCAAACAGATCATTGCAGCATTACCCATAATGCCCTTTGTTTCAGCCCTGTTTCCAAAGTGCTGATTCTCTGTCTGTTACTTTAGATGAAAATAAGGAGCCCCTCCCCACGCCCCTCTGAGAGAGATTTGGTTAAAAAGAACTCAATGGTGCTCTAGGAGGAGATTCAGGTGATAAGGGGGGGGGGGGGGTTACCTTGGTTGCTGATTGGCTAATGGTTACACAAGACAAAACATCGTTATGACATCATCAAGTGGCCAAAATCTGATCAGTCATTTGATGTAGAAGAACATGAGAAGAGGGGACACATGTTGATGAGAAGAGACATGAAGAACAGGGACACATGTTGATGTAGAAGAGACATGAAGAAGAGGGGACACATGTTGATGTAGAAGAGACATGAAGAGGGGACACATGTTGATGTAGAAGAGACATGAAGAAGAGGGGACACATGTTGATGTAGAAGAGACATGAAGAAGAGGGGACACATGTTGATGTAGAAGAGACATGAGAAGAGGGGACACATGTTGATGTAGAAGAGACATGAAGAAGAGGGGACACATGTTGATGTAGAAGAGACATGAAGAAGAGGGGACACATGTTGATGAAGAAGAGACATGAAGAAGAGGGGACACATGTTGATGTAGAAGAGACATGAAGAAGAGGGGACACATGTTGATGTAGAAGAGACATGAAGAAGAGGGGACACATGTTGATGTAGAAGAGACATGAAGAAGAGGGGACACATGTTGATGTAGAAGAGACATGAAGAAGAGGGACACATGTTGATGAAGAAGAGACATGAGAAGAGGGGACACATGTTGATGTAGAAGAGACATGAAGAAGAGGGGACACATGTTGATGTAGAAGAGACATGAAGAAGAGGGGACACATGTTGATGTAGAAGAGACATGAAGAAGAGGGGACACATGTTGATGTAAGAGACATGAAGAAGAGGGGACACATGTTGATGAGAAGAGACATGAAAAGGGGACACATGTTGATGTAGAAGAGACATGAAGAAGAGGGGACACATGTTGATGTAGTAGAGACATGAAGAAGAGGGGACACATGTTGATGTAGAAGAGACATGAAGAAGAGGGGACACATGTGATGTAGAAGAGACATGAAGAAGAGGGGACACATGGTGATGTAGAAGAGACATGGAGAAGAGGGGACACATGTTGATTGTAGAAGAGACATGAAGAGACAGGGCGGAAGGGGACACATGTTGATGTAGAAGAGGACATGAAGAAGAGGGGACACATGTTGATGTAGAAGAGACATGAAGAAGAGGGGACACATGTTGATGTAGAAGAGACATGAAGAAGAGGGGGAAACATGTGATGTAGAAGAGACATGAGAAGAGGGGACACATGTTGATGTAGAAGAGACATGAAGAAGAGGGGACCATGTTTGATGTAGAAGAGACATGAAGAAGAGGGGGACACATGTTGATGTAGAAGAGACATGAAGAAGAGGGACACATGTTGATTGTAGAAGAGACATGAAGAAGAAGACGGGACAGGGGCCACATGTTGATGTAGAAGAGACATGAAGAAGAGGGGACACGATGTTGATGTATGTAAGACGACATGAAGATAGGGGACACATGTTGATTTGTAGAAGAGACAGAAGAGAGGGGACACATGTTGATGTAGAAGAGACGTGAAGAAGGGGATTTTTGCATGACAGGTGACCTTTAATATTGACCATTGGGTTTATTCAAATATCTATCATGCCTCTACATGTAAATGGACCTCCTTAAAAAGTCATCAAATTAACCACAATCTCAATTCTGAGGATTTGTCCTATCGGTTTTTGTCTAAATGTATTTACGCTGCTTTTTATTATATTTATTAATACATAGCACTTTGGTTCAACTCTGTTGTTTTTAAATGTGCTATATAAATAAAGTTGGATTGGATGTATTCTCATGGTAAACCAGTCATCAGAGGAGTGGCAAATCAGCTTCTAGAGTTAAATGCTGTCTTTATCTGAATGCTTTTTTGAAACTATCTATTCATCCTCCTTCTCCTCCAGGTTTCCTCTGGACGAACACCTCTTCTTCATCAGTGGAGAAGGCGGTCGGTTCGTCCCAACTGGTTTCCTCGTCTCGGATCGTCCGTTTGTTCGTCCCATTTCAGCGAGGATGCTTCGATCGCAGCGGGAGATAGTGACGGTCCGATCAGACGCCGTGCCGACACTCATGGTTGCACGGAAACCAAGAGGTGAGAGAGGCAAGAGACTCTTTGCACGTCAAAATGTGAGAGTGGAGGTACAAGTGCAGTCTGCAGAATTAATAACAATTCTACTGTGCTGCCTGTCGGACTTCTTTTATTACTCTCTGAAGCGCTAGAAGATTGTGTTGTGTCACAAACTGAAAGCCCAAGTTATTTGACTGCCACCTAACTGATATATATAAGTACTAATAATAATACCAAAATGGTTGTAGTCCTTGTTTTAAAGTGGTTCGACCCTCCTTTTTAAGCTATATATGTTAGCAGGCTGTTAACTGTTTTGAATTGGTATCATCCTGGTTGATTGCACTAATTGTAATTAATTCATTAAATGTAGCTTAATTAATTAATTATAATGTAATGTGTCTTTTCCCCTCAGACTCCACTCACAGGACCGACCCAGCCTGCAGTGGATGAGGTTTGATCATTTGGGGTTTAGCTAAATATTGTATGTTACTATGGAATGAGAGCATGGATAATAACAACTGGATACAGCGTGGGAGGCGGGGTCTCGTTCATTCCTATGAGAGTTGCTCATTGGCGCATGAAGACAAAATGGCCCAACTTTTGAGGAGAGCGAAACGTCACGAAAGTATTCATATAATCATATAAGTCCGTTCTTATTGTGCATCCATGGGTAAAGGTAAAACTCATGTAGTACTGAACACGTCACATGAACGTGCCGGGCGGCGTGGGTTAGATCTGCGTTCATAATGCCGAGGAAGATAACTCTCAGAATAACGTTATTAGCACATTTTACAACTTGAGGACCGAATGTTTTTAATAAGGGTTATACAAACGTTCATACTGGGTAGATTATTTAGTTTAAAAAAAATTATCCAACGATTTACAGACGTCTCTTTCCCAATGTTAGTCGATGGGAAAAAGTCTTTCCGGGCCCAGCGACTGATACGGAAGTGTAGTACCGCCGTTTGGCCACAACGAATATTTTCCTCAGAGTCCAGCGCACTTCCTGGGGGCTTGGATGAGAGTAACACATGCGTCACTTCTGGGCAAAAATTACGGCCCCGCCCACTTTTGGGGAAAACAACGCTGTCATTTGAATGGCGATTCGAACGTAAAATCTGGAATTATTTTAATGTTTGAGGTGCAATAAACGACACAGCAGCTTGTTGGCATGATAAAAACTATTATTTTCCGCCTCGCTCATGAGAGTAACAGCTGGCGAAATTACGGCCTCGCCTACTGATTTAATTGAACCCTAATCGAGCCCGATTGTCGATTTTCAAATGATTTATGTAATGGTTTGCCATCGTAATCGGGCTCTTTGAAGATCCACAAATCCACGGTTTTCAAACATTTCTGATCGGATTGGCAAAAACTTCAGAATGTGTATTGATCGCCATTCAGATGACCGCGTTTGTTTTCCCCAAAAGTGGGCGGGGCTGTAATTTTCGCCCAGAAGTGACGTAGGTGTTACTCTCATGTATAAACGAATAAATAAATCCAGCGATAATAAATCCAGAAATATATAGATAAACAGAATTTATTTATACTGTATGTCATGATCCAGCCTCCATATGTTACAGCAGAATTACAAACAAATCTGTCAAATCAAATCCTGATGCCCTTCCCCCTGTGTACTGCCACTCACTGCATGTCATTTAATCTTTTAATTGTGTGTGTAGACTTATTTCTCTAAGTACGACGCGGTGGAGCTTTACCTGATTAAACGCACTTATCCTCCTGGACTGAGCTACGTGGAGAAAAACACCTTCAGGAGGTTCTGCAAGAGGTACTGCATCAAAGGTGAGTCCAAACTAAACCCAAACAGATTCAGAATAAACGTCTACAACAGGTCTTTAGATTACTCCTGGAGATCTTTAGTATCAAAGGAAGGCGGTTTTTAAACATGTACGATACTTAAATGTCTGGAACAAGTATTGTGATTTGTAGTTTTCTCAGATGATGTTTTGCTTTGTATCGAGGGGTTAAAGACAACATAAGATAGGGAAACAGTGCTTTTTTAAAACAAAACAACAGTCATGATGTCTTCTCTGTTGCTATGTAATTGGGAAGTATGCAACGGGGTTTTTCTGAGAGTATAATGGCGCATTTCCACTACAGCGCGGTTTTAAGCGTGGTTGCGTTTTCCACTAGGCGTAGTTCCGGCTAATGGGTACTTTTTCACAGTTTTTCTGGCTCTCCAAAATCCCAGGTTCTTTCCGGGCCAACAACCGGGCTGAGTGTGCTAAACTAGTGAGAGAATCGCTGGCAAGGGGGCTACAACTACAACAAAATGAACATATTTGACCGTGATTTAATTGTAAGACACGTTTCAAAATGATGCCGAAGTAACAACATACTGATACCGGTTAGTAAAAACCATGAATTAATGCTTTGACAAGTCTGCAGACAGACGGCAGGCGAAAAACCTTTTAAAATGCGTGTTTTCTGAATGGAGATCGGCTAAGCTAACGCAGTATATGCTCCGACCGTCCACACTCACAACAACGGCCTATACAGACATAAATAAAGCAGCGACTGTATTCACCATGACACAGACAGTCTGTGGTTTGTACTTGTTTCACTTTTGTCTAGTTTCTGAACAGATATGAGGAGCTGTGAGCTCTGAGTGCTAACAGCTAACGGCTGATGTTGGTTTTGTGTTTCGCATTGAAGATGACGTCACGGCTCCGCCTACACTGCGTTACTATAGTTACTGCCCCAGCTACTAAACTGTAATGGAAACGCAGCATAAAGTGAGTCTGGCCTACCAAGGCCTAACAAGGCCTAACGAGGCCATAAGACACTTTTTAAAGAACCCTCACAACAAAAGTGTCATCAGGATTAGCTTCATATAATACCTAACTTTCCAAATGCAACCTCACGATCCTCTGCGTGAGGTTTCATTGAATGTAATCACCTGTTCCTCTCTCTCTCAGGTGATTCTCTGCACACAGAGAGAGGAAACCGGCTGTGTTTGGTCCTCAGGAGCCGGAAGAAAGTGGAAGAAGCTCTGCTGGATTTTCACGACGAGTTGAACCACCTCAACGTCAACAAGTGTCTCCGACTGCTCAACGAAAGGTGAGCGGGGATCTCATAACGTCTCTTAATCGAGATTAAATTAAACTTTCTTCATCTCACTAAGACACACAAGAGTACACTGACACAAACTACTTCTGTCTCTTCATCGCTTTTATCACTTCAAGTCGTTTGTAACATTAAATCAACCGATAACTGACTGCAAATTCAACAAATTCAACTTTGAGATTAAGGTTTAAACACCGATTTGTTATTCTTTTAAGTCTATTTAACCAAACACATTGGTGTTTATCGATGTTGTACCATCCTGAAACTGTATGAGCACCTTTTAAGAGTAAGAAATTAAACGTTTAGTTACTTGTTGTTATACCTGTAGGTTCTTAAAATGTAGATTATGCTTAAAGGTAGGGTCGGTAAATTTGGAGAAACCGGCTCGAGATCGCTAGAATTTGAAAATACACAACCGGAGAAAATCTGCCACTTCCTTACAGAGCCCCGCCTCCAACACACACGAACGCGCACATGACCAATGAGGGCACGAGATAAAGTTTGTGCACAGATGGAAGGCTGACAGGCAGGTAGGCCATCAGTTACTTTAGCCGGGCCGGCTCAGATGATTGGTCGTGCTTTTTACAGTACTACGGCTTCCACAGATGATATTTTTTAATGGATTTTTTTGTCAAAGCACTTCAGATATTCATTGCTATCGGGATGTATTTAAGAGCATTCCATGGATATAATAACAAGTGTATCTCGAGCCGGTTTCTCAAACTTACCTACCCCACCTTTAAATTTGAAGGTGTATTTATATAATACCAAGCTGTTGTATTTATCAGAATCAGAATACTTGTATTAGTCCCACAGAGGGGAGCCACAGACAGCTTCATCTAGCATGCTGAAGAATTAGCAGCCAGGAATATATTGCACAGTAATTAACGGTATATATACATATTGCACATATTGCGCGGAGGCGTGTGGCGCAGTGGTCTAGTGCGTTGGTGTTGGGATCAGGGGAGCACAGGTTCAAACCCCTCTGCAGTCAGCATGTCGTTGTGTCCCTGTGGCGGCAGTGCCGCTGGAGCACAGGTTCAAACCCCACTGCAGTCAGCATGTCGTTGTGTCCCTGTGGCGCAGTGGACTGGAGCACAGGTTCAAACCCCACTGCAGTCAGCATGTCGTTGTGTCCCTGCTGGCGCAGTGCACTGGAGCACAGGTTCAAACCCCACTGCAGTCAGCATGTCGTTGTGTCCCTGTGGCGCAGTGGCCTGGAGCACAGGTTCAAACCCCACTGCAGTCAGCATGTCGTTGTTGTCCCCTGTGGCGGCAGTGGACTGCTGGAGCACAGGTTCAAACCCCACTGCAGTCAGCATGTCGTAGTGGCGCAGTGGACTGGAGCACAGGTTCAAACCCCACTGCAGTCAGCATGTCGTTGTGTTCCTGTGGCGCAGTGGAATGGAGCACAGGTTCAAACCCCACTGCAGTCAGCATGTCGTTGTGTCCCTGTGGCGCAGTGCTCTGGAGCACAGGTTCAAACCCCTCTGCAGTCAGCATGTCGTTGTGTCCCTGTGGCGCAGTGGCCTGGAGCACAGGTTCAAACCCCACTGCAGTCAGCATGTCGTTGTGTCCCTGTGGCGCAGTGGACTGGAGCACAGGTTCAAACCCCACTGCAGTCAGCATGTCGTTGTGTCCCTGTGGCGCAGTAGCCTGGAGCACAGGTTCAAAACCCCACTGCAGTCAGCATGTCGTTGTGTCCCTGAGACACTTCACCCCAAATTGCTCCTGTGGGGATTGTCCACAGTACTCAGTATGTAAGTCTCTTTGGATAAAAGCGTTCTAACAAGTAACATGTAATGTAATGTAATATTGCACATAGTTAGTATATCCAATAACCAGCTCATGATGTCATCATCAGGTACTTCTGGAAAACCATGAGGCCTGATGTGGTTCAGTGGATCAACAAATGCTCAGAGTGCAGTAGGAAGACCAAGAAGAAGAAGAAACAAGGAAGACCACCAACAGGAACATTTCAATCTCCTCTGCAGACGCTGAGACCTCCACACACTCCTGAGGATTCAGACAGGTGTGTGTCTGCTGTAGAGTGTGTGTCTGCTGTAGAGTGTATTTGGATTGTTAGATATACTGTAGTAACAGTGTCAGCACCACGATTACATAACGTTGTATTAGTTAAAAGTATAAGTAAACGGTAACAAGGGTAATTTGTTGTCTCCCTTAACGTTACACACACAACATAAGTATTTTCCTTAGAAAGTAAGTAGCACTAGCTCAAAAGTTGTCTTCTTTAAATTAGACAACAACAACAAATGCAGTTTCTAATATCCAGGTCATTGTGGAGGAAACTCTGAAGAGAAACTGATAAATGATTCGTGGACAAAGTTTGTCTTTGTTATATTTAATAAAGTAATAAAGAAAGTCAGTATAAAATGAAATGGATCTGAAGTGCGGGAACAGAGCAGCTTCCTCCTCAGAGGAGAGAGAAGCTCTGCTGACGGTCTCTCTACATATTCATGAGAGGAAACAGCTGCTCCTACATCCCATCATTAAACCAGAAAACTTACATTTTAAGCATTTAAATCCCCCTGTACCTTTCCTTTAACCTCCTGAAATGTAAACCATTAATGTCTCTGTTAAACACACACAAGACTAACAATACAATTTAACAGAGTAAAAGGCAATCAGAGTATAAGACGATATGTTTTAAATGATTATATGATCATTTGACACGACATGTGATTCCTCTAAAGTGGTGGTCCGTGAGTATATTGGTCAAATTTCACATTTGAAATAAATAAATACATTTAAGTTTTCCGCACTCTTCCATTGCAGGAATATCTCTGCAATGGAGCGAGCTTGAGTTTCACTTTCGAATGCATGATATATGTCACGCATGTTTCCACGTGTTTGTACCGTTTTCAGGCGATTTCTAATCTGTTCTAGAAAAACTGTGATTTTGGATATTTGTGGAGCTAGGTGGTCCGCGAGTGTTTTTTTTATCAAATCAACCGATAACTGACTGCAAATTCAACAAATTCAACTTTGAGATTAAGGTTTAAACACCGATTTGTTATTCTTTTAAGTCTATTTAACCAAACACATTGGTGTTTATCGATGTTGTACCATCCTGAAACTGTATGAGCACCTTTTAAGAGTAAGAAATTAAACGTTTAGTTACTTGTTGTTATACCTGTAGGTTCTTAAAATGTAGATTATGCTTAAAGGTAGGGTCGGTAAATTTGGAGAAACCGGCTCGAGATCGCTAGAATTTGAAAATACACAACCGGAGAAAATCTGCCACTTCCTTACAGAGCCCCGCCTCCAACACACACGAACGCGCACATGACCAATGAGGGCACGAGATAAGTTTGTGCACAGATGGAAGGCTGACAGGCAGGTAGGCCATCCAGTTACTTTAGCCGGGCCGGCTCAGATGATTGGTCGTGCTTTTTACAGTACTACGGCTTCCACAGATGATATTTTTTAATGGATTTTTTGTCAAAGCACTTCAGATATTCATTGCTATCGGGATGTTAAGAGCATTCCATGGAATATAATAACAAGTGTATCTCGAGCCGGTTTCTCAAACTTACCTACCCCACCTTTAAATTTGAAGGTGCATTTATATAATACCAAGCTGTTGTATTTATCAGAATCAGAATACTTGTATTAGTCCCACAGAGGGGAGCCACAGACAGCTTCATCTAGCATGCTGAAGAATTAGCAGCCAGGAATATATTGCACAGTAATTAACGGTATATATACATATTGCACATATTGCGCGGAGGCGTGTGGCGCAGTGGTCTAGTGCGTTGGTGTTGGGATCAGGGGAGCACAGGTTCAAACCCCTCTGCAGTCAGCATGTCGTTGTGTCCCTGTGGCGCAGTGCCCTGGAGCACAGGTTCAAACCCCACTGCAGTCAGCATGTCGTTGTGTCCCTGTGGCGCAGTGGACTGGAGCACAGGTTCAAACCCCACTGCAGTCAGCATGTCGTTGTGTCCCTGTGGCGCAGTGCACTGGAGCACAGGTTCAAACCCCACTGCAGTCAGCATGTCGTTGTGTCCCTGTGGCGCAGTGGCCTGGAGCACAGGTTCAAACCCCACTGCAGTCAGCATGTCGTTGTGTCCCTGTGGCGCAGTGGACTGGAGCACAGGTTCAAACCCCACTGCAGTCAGCATGTCGTTGTGTCGCAGTGGACTGGAGCACAGGTTCAAACCCCACTGCAGTCAGCATGTCGTTGTGTTCCTGTGGCGCAGTGGAATGGAGCACAGGTTCAAACCCCACTGCAGTCAGCATGTCGTTGTGTCCCTGTGGCCGCAGTGCTCTGGAGCACAGGTTCAAACCCCTCTGCAGTCAGCATGTCGTTGTGTCCCTGTGGCGCAGTGGCCTGGAGCACAGGTTCAAACCCCACTGCAGTCAGCATGTCGTTGTGTCCCTGTGGCGCAGTGGACTGGAGCACAGGTTCAAACCCCACTGCAGTCAGCATGTCGTTGTGTCCCTGTGGCGCAGTGGCCTGGAGCACAGGTTCAAACCCCACTGCAGTCAGCATGTCGTTGTGTCCCTGAGACACTTCACCCCAAATTGCTCCTGTGGGGATTGTCCACAGTACTCAGTATGTAAGTCTCTTTGGATAAAAGCGTCTAACAAGTAACATGTAATGTAATGTAATATTGCACATAGTTAGTATATCCAATAACCAGCTCATGATGTCATCATCAGGTACTTCTGGAAAACCATGAGGCCTGATGTGGTTCAGTGGATCAACAAATGCTCAGAGTGCAGTAGGAAGACCAAGAAGAAGAAGAAACAAGGAAGACCACCAACAGGAACATTTCAATCTCCTCTGCAGACGCTGAGACCTCCACACACTCCTGAGGATTCAGACAGGTGTGTGTCTGCTGTAGAGTGTGTGTCTGCTGTAGAGTGTATTTGGATTGTTAGATATACTGTAGTAACAGTGTCAGCACCACGATTACATAACGTTGTATTAGTTAAAAGTATAAGTAAACGGTAACAAGGGTAATTTGTTGTCTCCCTTAACGTTACACACACAACATAAGTATTTTCCTTAGAAAGTAAGTAGCACTAGCTCAAAAGTTGTCTTCTTTAAATTAGACAACAACAACAAATGCAGTTTCTAATATCCAGGTCATTGTGGAGGAAACTCTGAAGAGAAACTGATAAATGATTCGTGGACAAAGTTTGTCTTTTGTTATATTTAATAAAGTAATAAAGAAAGTCAGTATAAAATGAAATGGATCTGAAGTGCGGGAACAGAGCAGCTTCCTCCTCAGAGGAGAGAGAAGCTCTGCTGACGGTCTCTCTACATATTCATGAGAGGAAACAGCTGCTCCTACATCCCATCATTAAACCAGAAAACTTACATTTTAAGCATTTAAATCCCCCTGTTACCTTTCCTTTAACCTCCTGAAATGTAAACCATTAATGTCTCTGTTAAACACACACAAGACTAACAATACAATTTAACAGAGTAAAAGGCAATCAGAGTATAAGACGATATGTTTTAAATGATTATATGATCATTTGACACGACATGTGATTCCTCTAAAGTGGTGGTCCGTGAGTATATTGGTCAAATTTCACATTTGAAATAAATAAATACATTTAAGTTTTCCGCACTCTTCCATTGCAGGAATATCTCTGCAATGGAGCGAGCTTGAGTTTCACTTTCGAATGCATGATATATGTCACGCATGTTTCCACGTGTTTGTACCGTTTTCAGGCGATTTCTAATCTGTTCTAGAAAAACTGTGATTTTGGATATTTGTGGAGCTAGGTGGTCCGCGAGTGTTTTTTTTTATTGGTTAAGTGGACCTTGGTATGAAAAAGTTTGAGGAACACTGCTCTAATGTCTCTGTGTCTTCATCCTCACAGTGGGAAGGATGGAGATGATGGTGGTGATGAAGATGTTGGTGATGAAGAGAGAGGAACAGCACCTACTTTAGAGGACAGAGGGGTACGGTTCACAGCCTCTCACTCTATTTGTAATGTCTAAATTTATCCTAATAGTATAGAAAATGTTAAATTGGCCAGACACTTTACTGAGTGACGAGCAAACAGTGAGGGTGATATCAATTATATCAGCATACATACATACATGTATATTTTCTAGTTATGTTTATTGCCTATTTTATGACATATGTACTTGTGTGTTATGCCTGTGTTATTTTTGAAACCGGATGTTGTTTACTTTCTCTTTTCTGGCTGAAAGCTCCGCAAATTCGGGGTCGTACAGTGATGACACTACATGTATGGAATATGTGGAGTCTCAGCTTTAATCGGATATCTTGTTTGTGCAGTTACGATAAGTAATAAGGGCATTTTGAGAGTGAGTGCTGTGCAAAACTCCGTTAGCATTAGTTAGCATTTTTTCGCAAAATGCTAATTCAAAGGCTTGGTATTACTCTTGTGTTTCTTTTAGCTAAAAATGGTTCATATCTTCAGTTAGCTGAGATTCTTACCGTTAATCTGGTGCTACACATTAATAGTTTCATAAATGTAAGAAGCCCTGAGACATTGTCTAAAAAAAAAAAAGTGGGAGGGGTCCAATGGGGGGACTTAAGAGGTTAACATGCTGCTGCAACACAAAAGGTACAACAAGTATATCTAATGTGATCTAATCTATTTATTTTTCTGTGAATCCCCTGTGCTATGTCCAATAATAACTTCTACTATGAGAGATAATTACTGAGTTTAAACACATGAAATAACCAATAATAACCTTCTACAAACACTGCAGCTGCCTCTGAATACAGAGAAAGACCCTGTTAATCATACAGTGTTATGAAAAAGACTTACTTTCTCCAAACGTCTCACTGACTTTCTGTTTCTCATCTTAATCCTAGGAGACCCCTTTGCCTCCTCAGCCCAGATTCCCATCCTGGTTCATCTGAAAACGCCCATCATTTCACTCAGTACTCTCCCATAACCCTCCAGCCAACGACTTCTAACGCCCTTAGCGTGGAGAGACTTTTCCAGAACGAAACACTCTCCTCCAGCTCTGTAAACCATCTGATCCCTGAGCAAAAAGAGACCATTATCTCTCACGTTAAAGCCAGGACACTTCGCGGGAAGACCAAGAAGAAACGAGGAAGAACACCAACGGAACATTTAAAAATCTCCTCTGCAGACGCTGAGACCTCCACACACTCCTGAGGATTTAGACAGGTGTGTGTCTGCTGTAGAGTGTGTGTCTGCTGTAGAGTGTGTGTCTGCTGTAGAGTGTGTGTCTGCTGTAGAGTGTGTGTCTGCTGTAGAGTGTGTGTCTGCTGTAGAGAGTGTGTCTGCTGTAGAGAGTGTGTCTGTTGCTGTAGAGTGTGTGCTGTAGGTGTGTGTGTCTGCTGTAGAGAGTGTGTGTCTGCTGTAGAGTGTGTGTCTGCTGTAGAGAGTGTGTGTCTGCTGTAGAGTGTGTGTCTGCTGTAGAGAGTGTGTGTCTGCTGTAGAGAGTGTGTGTCTGCTGTAGAGAGTGTGTGTCTGCTGTAGAGTGTGTGTCTGCTGTAGAGTGTGTGTCTGCTGTAGAGTGTGTGTCTGCTGTAGAGTGTGTGTGCTCAAAAGCTGTCTACTTTAAATTAGAATAAAATGAAATGAAAAACAACGAATGCAGTCACTAATATACAGGTCACATGATTCCTTTGTGTGCTCCCTCTAATCCTGTCTCTGTGTCTTCATCCTCACAGTGAGAACGATGGAGATGATGGTGATGATGGTGATGATGATGGTGATGAAGAGAGAGGAACAGCACCTACTTTAGAGGACAGAGGGGTACGTTTCACAGCCTCTTACTCCTAATAGTATAGAAAATGTTAAATTGGCCAGACACTTCACTGAGTGAGGAGCAAACAGTGATATCAATTATATCAGATACTCTATAGATATATATCTCGCTACTGCTGATATGTGTATATTTTCTAGTTACGTTTATGACATATTTTATGACATATTTACTTGTGTGTTATGCCTGTTAACATGCTGCTGTAACTAAAAAGGTACAACAAGTATATCTAATGTAGTAGTAGTATTCGTGTATTTGTCCCCGAGGGGAAAATGGGTTGCAGCACATCACAAGGCATTTAAAAAGATAAAACATACGTCACTGACAACAACATAGACACAGATTAAAAGAACAGATATCGGCAGACATGACAAAAGGCCTAGCTCTCATTTGCGAGAGGGGAGGGGGGCAGTGCCAGACCAGCTGGGTAAACAGTGCGTCCTAGCCATCATTGATTCAGGAGTTTGATGGCTTGTGGGACGACAGACAGCCTAGATCTGTTCTTTTTAATCAGAGGGCCACGATGTCTCCGCCTGGATGGCAGAAGTTCAAAATAAGAGTTAAGAGGGTGCCTCAGGTCACTCACAATACTGTGTGCCATTTTGAAAACTCTGTCCTTGTATAAGCTTTCTAGACTAGACAATGTTATGGCCCTCTGACTTTGTCTGTGCCTCAGTGGCGTTGCCGAAGGAGAGCACACTTTCAATAAAAGCATGATAAAACATCTTAAAGGGGACCTATCATGCAAAATGCACTTTTGTACGTCTTTTCTACATGAATATGTGTCCCCGGTGTTCCAGGGAACTCACCAAGTGTCAGAAAACACAACCCTCTCTATTTTCCTCCATACCCAAATCTTTAAAAAAGGGACTGCAACGGATCTGATAAAAACTGATCCAGATTTGAACACTGTCCTGACGTCAGGACGGTGGCGCTACGGCTATTGGGCCAACTCCACCAATCAGGAGGAGACAGCCACGGCCATTGCCATTCAAAAGCGCTGGAGACGCTGTAGTACATATGCCAGGCCAGTAGATGGTGCTGTTCTCACTGAATCAGCCCAGAGCTAGAAATTGTCAAATTGAGCGAAATGAGGCATGGCTAAAATGCATGATCTGTTTGGTATTTTGAAAAAAAAAAAGTATAAATATGCCTTATATAGGTATGGTCCTATACTATATTATTTAAATATAGCATGATAGGTCCACTTTAACCATTCTGTTGCCGACATTAAAAGACAATCATTTACGTAAAATGTGATCTAATCTATTTATTTTTCTGTGAGTCCCTAATGTTTGGGCATGCAATCTGTGCTATGTCCAATAATAACTACTACTATGAGAGATAATGACTGAGTTTAAACACATTAAATAACCAATAATAACCTTCTACAAACACTGCAGCTGCCTCTGAATACAGAGAAAGACCCTGTTAATATCCAAGTATTTACTTTCTGAAAACGTCTCACTGACTTTCTGTTTCTCATCTTAATCCTAGGAGACCCCTTTGCCTCCTCAGCCCAGAATACCCATCCTGGTTCATCTGAAAACGCCCATTCATTTTCACTCAAGTACTCCCATAACCCTCCAGCCAACGACTTCTAACGCCCTTAGCGTGGAGAGACTTTTCCAGAACGAAACACTCTCCTCCAGCTCTGTAAACTCTGAGCAAACGGGACCTCAGGAGCAGAAAGAGATCGTTATTTCTCACGTTAGCGCCAGAACACTTCACTTCGTCAGAGTCCAAGACATCATCAACCCTCTCCCAGAATCAAATCTTCCTCCTGAGCTCACAGCTAAACACAAACCTCCTCAATCCAAGAGCAAGAAAATGAAACCTCCCAGTCAAGGCAGAGGGATTAAAACTCAAACTAAGAGCTGTGAAAGCGCCCAACAACCAAAAAGGAGGAGAAAGAAGGACCTGGAAGCGGATAAAATAACATCCAGCTGTGGTTTGGAGCCCTTATTAGCTCCGAGCTCCAAACCCTGGCCCGTTTTCACCATCTCTGACTCTTCCTCCACACAATCGGCAAAACCCCCGACGAATGTGGACAGGTACGTGCCAATACTCACCCAAAAATGTACTTTTTTTTTGGTAGAAATGACTTGCTTGATCCCCACAAGTCCAAACTTCCAGGTGTAAAATGATTGGAAATTAGCAATGAATAATCGATCAGTTTTATGTACTTTTTTTATCTGGCCAAATGTACACACATGTGCCACAACTTTCACACACAGTCAACAATGTGACAGCCACAAAAAAGAAAATAGCTAACATTTGGGGGCACCTTTTTTCTGTCTTCATGATAAACAAACATTTTAATATACATTTTGCATCAACAAGTTAAGTTAGAAAAACTTGTGTGTGTGTTCAATTATGGTTCTTAGAAAGATTACATCGGCAGGTCAGATTTAAAAACAATTAAGACACCTCTTAGTTACTTGATATCATATGCAATGTGTATGACAGTTATATATATATGTGTGTGTGTGTGTGTTCATATATGTGTGTTCATATATATATATGTGTGTGTGTGGGGTAAATTATGGTTCTTAGAAAGATTGCATCGGCAGGTCAGATTTAAAAACAATGTAGACACCTCTTAGGTAATGAATGTGAGTTAATAGTTGTTGTATGCATCGTGTGTGTGTGTGTCTCTCTCTCTCTCTCTCGCTCTCTCGCTCTCTCTCTCTCTCTTTGTGTGTGTGTGTAGTGCTGCTCCCCTGCAGAGGAACATAACTCTTCAGGCCCGGATCGTCCTCCAGCAGTGCAGCGAGGCTAAAGTTAAAGCCGCCGCTCAGTGGGCGGAGGTGAGTGGAGTTATTTATCTTTGCATTATTATACTTAAAGGGGACCTATCATGCAAAATGCACTTTTGTCCGTCTTTTATACATGAATATGTGTCCCCGGTGTTCCAGGGAACTCACCAAGTGTCAGAATCTCTAAAAAAGGGGCTGCAACGGATCTGATAAAAACTGATCCAGATTTGAACACTGTCCTGACGTCAGGACGGTGGCGCTACGGCTATTGGGCCAACTCCACCAATCAGGAGGAGACAGCCACGGCCATTGCCGTTAGAAAGTGCTGGAGACGCTGTAGTACATATGCCAGGCCTGTAGATGGTGCTGTTCTCACTGAATCAGCCCTTGCTAAAACAGATCTAAAAAATGTCAAATTGAGCAAAATGAGGCATGGCTAAAATGCATGATCTGTTTGGTATTTTGAAAAAAAGAAAGTATAAATATGCCTTATATAGGTATGGCCCTACACTATATTATTCAAATATAGCATGATAGGTCCACTTTAAGTGAATGATCTGGGTTATATTTAAACGATTAGTCTGGGCTGTGAGAGGTCACACTTCCTGCTCTCAGGATGATCCACGTAACACACGACTTTTCTGTTTATTGGCCTAAAAATGTCAATAAATACTCCTCCATGGATTTACTTAAAATGTTGTCCACACTTTCCTCGTGGTCCTCAGAGCAGCTTTTAGAGGTGCTAGATCAATAATACTGTGTGTAGTGACCACGGTATCCATTTGTTTTAGTCTTTGGTCTGTGATTCACTCGGGGGCTGACCGATGAGTAGACGCTTGTTGCTGAGAGGAAAAATAAAAGAAATGTCCAGATGCGACTGAAAAGTAAAATATTCTTGTTTATTCTAAAAAGGCAGTGGAAAAAATGTATAAACGTTTTCAAACAAACTATTTCTCATATACACTGATACTTGATGTATAGCTGCAGTGTCTCCACATAAACATACGTTATTAAGTTATTATTATTATTATTATTATTGTCAGGGAATAATTCTGTATACATGTTCACCTCTCGCCCTCTGACGCAGATGCCCTAACCCTTGAGCAGCCGCTATCTCCCTTAAGGAGGGGCTGCCCTAGCAAGTTGTTGTTGTTACCAGTTTGTGACCGGGCACCTCTCGGTCAGAGAGTTATTGTTGTGGGACACCTGGAACACATCCTTCTCAGGGTGTAGATGACCCCGAGCCATAAGAGACAACAAATGTGATTCAGTGTCCCTCAGCTGTTTAGTCTCTCTATTGAAGAATGTTGATTATTACACTCTGAACTAAAACCTGGAGCTACAGGAGGGGTCTTCAGGATTGATTGTGGTATTTCAACCGTGTGGTCAACTCGTGTCCCCGTGACATGTCTTGTGAATTCTCCGGCCGAAGCTCCAAATAAACTGTCAGTGTTCGCCATCAAAGCTCCAGCTCTCCTCGTGTCTCTCTGAGTCCTGACTCCATCAAAGCTCCAGCTCTCCTCGTGTCTCTCTGAGTCCTGACTCCATCAAAGCTCCAGCTCTCCTCGTGTCTCTTTGAGTCCTGACTCCATCAGAGCTCCAGCTCTCCTCGTGTCTCTCTGAGTCCTGACTCCATCAAAGCTCCAGCTCTCCTAGTGTCTCTCTGAGTCCTGACTCCATCAAAGCTCCAGCTCTCCTCGTGTCTCTCTCTGAGTCTTGACTCCATCAAAGCTCCAGCTCTCCTCGTGTCTCTCTGAGTCCTGACTCCATCAAAGCTCCAGCTCTCCTCGTGTCTCTCTGAGTCCTGACTCCATCAAAGCTCCAGCTCTCCTCGTGTCTCTCTGAGTCCTGACTCCATCAAAGCTCCAGCTCTCCTCGTGTCTCTTTGAGTCCTGACTCCATCAAAGCTCCAGCTCTCCTCGTGTCTCTTTGAGTCCTGACTCCATCAAAGCTCCATCTCTCCTCGTGTCTCTCTCTGAGTCCTGACTCCATCAAAGCTCCAGCTCTCCTCGTGTCTCTCTGAGTCCTGACTCCATCAAAGCTCCAGCTCTCCTCGTGTCTCTCTGAGTCCTGACTCCATCAAAGCTCCAGCTCTCCTCGTGTCTCTTTGAGTCCTGACTCCATCAAAGCTCCAGCTCTCCTCGTGTCTCTTTGAGTCCTGACTCCATCAAAGCTCCATCTCTCCTCGTGTCTCTCTCTGAGTCCTGACTCCATCAAAGCTCCCAGCTCTCCTCGTGTCTCTCTGAGTCCTGACTCCATCAAAGCTCCAGCTCTCCTCGTGTCTCTCTGAGTCCTGACTCCATCAAAGCTCCAGCTCTCCTCGTGTCTCTCTGAGTCCTGACTCCATCAAAGCTCCAGCTCTCCTCGTGTCTCTCGTCCTGACTCCATCAAAGCTCCAGCTCTCCTCGTGTCTCTCTTTGAGTCCTGACTCCATCAAAGCTCCAGCTCTCCTCGTGTCTCTTTGAGTCCTGACTCCATCAAAGCTCCAGCTCTCCTCGTGTCTCTCTGAGTCCTGACTCCATCAAAGCTCCAGCTCTCCTCGTGTCTCTCTTTGAGTCCTGACTCCATCAAAGCTCCAGCTCTCCTCGTGTCTCTCTGAGTCCTGACTCCATCAAAGCTCCAGCTCTCCTCGTGTCTCTCTGAGTCCTGACTCCATCAAAGCTCCAGCTCTCCTCGTGTCTCTCTGAGTCCTGACTCCATCAAAGCTCCAGCTCTCCTCGTGTCTCTCTGAGTCCTGACTCCATCAAAGCTCCAGCTCTCCTCGTGTCTCTCTGAGTCCTGACTCCATCAAAGCTCCAGCTCTCCTCGTGTCTCTCTGAGTCCTGACTCCATCAAAGCTCCAGCTCTCCTCGTGTCTCTCTGAGTCCTGACTCTCCATTGCTTCAGAAGTTTCCCCCACAATGATCATCCAGTTGAATCCTCTCTTTCCTCAGATCCAGAAAGGATTGGTGGTGTATGTTTGTTTCTTCCACGGAGCCACGGAGGATGTCACTCATGAGATGGGTGAGACGACTTTTTAACTTCACTGTGACTAATCATTATAATCTGGTTAATATTCCTCAGGTGAATGTCATTCATTGCCCTTATTGCCGGGTGGATGCATGTATGCAAACTGATATTAGGATGTAGTCCAGTAAAGGATAACAAGTGTGTTCTTAAGTTTGTTGCATATATTCATGCACTCTGTTTATTATGAAATGATTTAATAGATACTTGCATCCTTTTCCCTTTTTTGTAACAAGTGTATTTATTATTTTAACCATATGCACAATAATTACAGAGAATCACATGTTGGCAATGACAGTTTTATTTCACCTTGTTCTGTCGTCTCCTCCAAAGCCAGAAGTCTGATGACCACCACATTTTTCCGTAAAGACTCCGGACACTCGGTTTCCGTGCTGGATTTCCCCGGGAGCGTTTTGTTTATCCACCAGGACTCCCTGCTGGGGGAGGGGTTGCCCAAAAGGAGGATGGAGAACAGAGGGGGGGGGGCAGCTCTTCTCCACCCTAATATCTAAATGCAGGGAGAAAATGGCCGCCTCGGAGAAATGTAGGAAGGCTGGAGTGAAAGTGGAGCACGGAGAATACGGAAAGAAACAGGAAGTCAGTCTGAAGTCTGCAGAACCAATGACTCTGCTGATGGAGTTCTGAGCGGGTTAGAAACAAACACTGTAAATAAAGGATTGAATCAAAGACTGTATGTGTCGTGACTTCCTTCCTTGTTTTCCTATCAAGCCACTAGACGCCTTAAAGCACATGTGTCAAACTCAAGGCCCGGGGGCCAAATCAGGCCCTTGGTGGATTTAATTTCGGCCCGCAGGATAATTTCTAATTACTATTAGATCTGGCCCGCCGGTAATGTTAACTATAAAGTCAACCTGTTGGCAAAAATGCAATGTTAATATAGATTTCATCACATGTTGCTCATCTAGTGATTAAACGTGATTTCACTGCTGAATTCATACAAAGGGATCAATAACATGACTGTATTTGTGTGTGATAAACAACCCTGTCTGAATAAAAGTTCAAATGATTTATAAATTCTTAGAGGTATTGCAGCTCCTAAAACATAAAACTAATGTTATCATCAGTGAAAGAAACGTCCACATTTAAAAAATAATGATTATTTAATGAAGCGGTGCATCACACCCCCAGCTAAACCAATCAGACGCATCTCATCTCCCACGAGCCAATCACAGCGCATCTGGCAAACGTTCAAATCTGCTCTTGTATAGACTGCAATAAACATGTTTATCGCACCAAACAAACTTGAAGTCTCTCCTGATTTAATATCTTTTGTATTTTAATCTCAACTATGCAGTACAAACAAATGATGGACTCTAAACAATGAGAGTATGCAGGATTTTTCTTTGTTTACACAATAACAACAATATCCAAAGAAAGAACGGCCTCAGTGTTTCTGTCCATATTTCAGGGCCTGATTTTGGCCCGGGGGCCAAAATCAGGCCCTTGGTGGATTTAATTTCGGCCCGCAGGATAATTTCTAATTACTATTAGATCTGGCCCTCCGGTATATTGCACGCACACCTTCACTCCATCCTGAGGGTCTCCTCAGCTCAGAGCCTGAGCCCAAACATTGATGACCTTGCACCCAAGATGAGATGCCAAGTATCTGAGCTAGCATCACAGAGCAGCACACTGAGTTTACATGGATGTTTCCTTCTGCACTTTCTCTCACACGACAACAGGGCATGTTTGGTTTGTTCTTTGAGGGAAATAGTTTTGTTGAAGCTGTTGTTGGCCTGTGGAGAAATGTACTCATAAGAAATGACTCTGGAGAAGCTGCAGATGGAGCCATAAGAAATGAATGCAACTGATTATTTAATGTTTAATGTTGTTTTTATAGGCAATAATTTAAGCTTTGTTAGTTCCAGGTTTAATATGTGCAATGAGTTCATTTCAATAAGTTCTGCAATAAACATTGGCCCTCGACTAGTACCCATTTTTTTATTTTGGCCCACTTTGTATTTGAGTTTGACACCCCTGTTCTAGATGATGTTATGCGATGCGTTTGCTCAAAATAAAATAACAAACTTTTACACATGCAACAAAGAAAAGAGGTCTTTACAATATTCAAAACAAATAGGCAAACCTCAAATTAAATAACAAGCAACTTAGATATTCTTTCTTTCTTGATAAGGCTTTTATAACTTAATAACTTAAAGGTGGGGTAGGTAAGTTTGAGAAACCAGCTCGAGATCGCTAGCATTTGAAAATACACAACCGGAGAAAATCTGCCACTTCCTTACAGAGCCCCTCCTCCAACACACACGAACGCGCACATGACCAATGAGGGCACGAGATAAGTTTGTGCCCCGATGGAAGGCTGACAGGCAGGTAGGCCATCCAGTTATTTTAGCCGGGCCGGCTCAGATGATTGGTCGTACTTTTTACAGTATTACGGCTTCCACAGATGACATTTTTTGTATGGATTTTTTGTCAAAGCACTTCAGATATTCATTGCTATCGGGATGTTAAGAGCATTCCATGGAATATAACAAGTGTATCTCGAGCCGGTTTCTCAAACTTACCTACCCTACCTTTAAAGGGTAATTGGACGGTTACAAACTGTTCCTCGACAGCGTCTTTCTGACAGATTGTTGCCCATCTCTGTCACTTTAGAGGAGGCGCCGTGGTTATTGTAGTCTTTTATAGTGCGTTGACTACAGACGTCACAATTAGGTGGCCTTTCTTATGAAACTAAATACTGGCTCTAACAGTCTGTATAAAGGTATAAGTCATAGTCTGTGTGTATAAAGCTACACACCTTTTGGTACTAGCGTCCTTGTCTTGTGTTTATCATTACATACAATACAGTATTCCACTTAGGTCTTTGGAGATGTCCACAAAGTCCAAACTTTTGCAGCTGAAAACTGTGTTTCATCCAGTGCAGATTTAGAATTCTCATCCATGACCGCCTTTTAAAAATACTCATGTTAACAGCCTTTTCTCATTAATGCTGTTGTTATTGTGTAAACAAAGAAAAATCCTGCATACTCTCATTGTTTAGAGTCCATCATTTGTTTGTACTGCATAGTTGAGATTAAAATACAAAAGATATTAAATCAGGAGAGACTTCAAGTTTGTTTGGTGCGATAAACATTTGTATTGCAGTCTATACAAGAGTAGATTTGCACGTTTGCCAGATGCGCTGTGATTGGCTCGTGGGAGATGAGATGCGTCTGATTGGTTTAGCTGGGGGTGTGATGCACCGCTTCATTAAAGGGGACCTATCATGCAAAATGCACTCTTGTACGTCTTGTATACATGAATATGTGTCCCCGGTGTTCCAGGGAACTCACCAAGTGTCAGAAAACACAACCCTCTCTATTTTCCTCCATACCCAAATCTCTAAAAAAGGGGCTGCAACGGATCTGATCAAAACTGATCCAGATTTGAACACTGTCCTGACGTCAGGACGGTGGCGCTACGGCTATTGGGCCAACTCCACCAATCAGGAGGAGACAGCCACGGCCATTGCCGTTCTAAAGCGCTGGAGATGCTGTAGTACATATGCCAGGCCTGTAGATGGTGCTGTTCTCACAGAATCAGCCCTTGCTAAAACAGAGCTAAAAAATGTCAAATTGAGCGAAATGAGGCATGGCTAAAATGCATGATCTGTTTGGTATTTTGAAAAAAAAAAAGTATAAATATGCCTTATATAGGTATGGTCCTACACTATATTATTCAAATATAGCATGATAGGTCCACTTTAAATAATCATTATTTTTAAAATGTGGACGTTTCTTTCACTGATGATAACATTAGTTTTATGTTTTAGGAGCTGCAATACCTCTAAGAATTTATAAATCATTTGAACTTTTATTCAGACAGGGTTGTTTATCACACACAAATACAGTCATGTTATTGATCCCTTTTGATGAATTCAGCAGTGAAATCACGTTTAATCACTAGATGAGCAACATGTGATGAAATCTATATTAACATTGCATTTTTGCCAACAGGTTGACTTTATAGTTAACATTACTTTTGTTTTATACATCATTATATTCGTAGCATGAACACGTAGTTAACTCTAGGTCTGCCTATTTAATAAATGCGTTTTCCTTATATATAGGTAAGAAGTATATTAAAATAATGTTATTTCTTTTTACTTTTTGCTTTAATTAATGGTTTAAATATTTAAACTGATTCTCTAAATGTTTTTGTTTTATTTGTAGTTAAGGTGGAAGTGCTGTGTTACAACTTTAAAAGGGTCTGATTGGTGTTACGGCCCGTCTACACGGCAGCGTGCGTCGCTTCAACGGAGACGCTTCCCCTTCACTTTGAATGTGGTGACGACGTCACGCTTTGCCGAACTGCGTTGCGGTTCCGTCTCGTCGCTTTGCCTCCTCCGTTGCTCGCTCCGAAAGTTGAGAAATGTTCAACTTTTCAAGCGTCAACGGAAGCGCCAGCCAATCAAATCATATGCCAGTACAAGCGCTAGCCAATCAAACCGCGTGCTTGTGTGTCCGGGGCGGGAGATTAATGTGATTGGTTGTCGGTCGCGCTCCAGACACGCCTACTGGCAAGCTTCAACGCATGCTGCCGTGTGGACGTACCGTTAGTCTCTTTCATTACAAACGTCTACATTATTATAAATAAATCATACGGGGAGGAAAAAGAGAAATGAAAGGACGACAAATAAAACATGCCAAATGAAATTCAGGATCATTTTATTATGAATAAAACACAATTGACCTTCATGTGATTCAGCAAACAGACGATAATCCAGCTTCACTTTCTGAACGTGAGGACCATGAAAACATGAAGGAAGTTTTCCAGCTAAGCTTCTCTCTGCATTTGCATAACTGCTGCTAACCTCAATCAATAACAAAGGAACTGCTAAATAAACTATGGACAATAACAGATATTACACCAATGAAAAAAAGACATCAGTGCGGGTTCATTTAGTGCGGCGAGTACTTTTCAGATTGACACTGAAATAAAGGGGAAGACAGGGATTTGTAGAATAATTGTAAAAAACAAAACACTTCCTTTTGAGCTACTGCTCTGTTGTGATTGGTCAACCACTTAGAGATGTCCCGCCCCTTTAGCCTATCACGTACAATATGTCAGAGCGCTAGCCAATAGGAGCGCGAGTATTACATCGTGATGTCATATGTTCAGGAACTTTGGGATTTGAGCCTTTGCAGACCATTAACATGCACACAAATATAACTCACTACAGGAGAGGGGAACAAAGTATGATAGGGACTCTTTAAAAGTATGTTTGCAGTACAAATGCGGCAAATAAGGACGTTTATTTAAAAAAAAAGAAAATCCACTGAACAATCAGAGGGGCATCATTAGTTCTTTGGGGGAACGTTTTCTGTGAGTTCAACACTTCCATGTGAAAATAAAAAGGCTTAGAGATAATAAAAAACACAAATAGTTTGTACTGCCTCGTCCTTTGCGTGCATTCATCATTTAAACAAATAAAATATACAGAAACGTATCAAACTAATCATAGAGAACTATTTCAAACCTTTATTTATCCAGGTGGTATCCCATTGAGATCATTGACCTCTTTTTCAAGGGAGCCCTGCAGGGAGACTATGTGTCCATATCAACGAGAAAAACACTGACCCGAGTCTTACTGGGTTTGATTTGATTTATTCTAGATACCAGGTCTTTTTCTTTGTCTAAGAAACCTAACCTCCTGGTTAATGCAACACGTCCCATACCTGCTGTCTTCATTTTTACCTTCAGTTCAACAATACAAAGTTCTAGTTTGATTCAACAGTTATTTTCAGCTTTCATATTGACCTTCACATTAGAGCTGGATTGACCTCAATGTGAACTTTAGAGGGACCCCCAAACACCCTCAATATGTAAACGATTGCATGTGTAGCAGATGTTAAATGAGGGGATAACACACTGATTTGATGTTGCAGAAGTGGACCCGGCATCAAGTAAAATACAGAACTTCATCTTCAAGGGGTTTCGAGTCAAAGCGATGGCTAACCTTGGATCGATTGTGTAAAAAAAGACGTCGTATTCTGTCTCTTTCATACGAGCTTCGTTTCCGTCCGTCTTTACACCCTTTCCGAAGTCTTCTTTCTTCTCAAAGAGGAAACCCCCCCCCTCTCAGTCTCCCTCCCACACACAGTCACACTCCCTCAGAGGGTTCCTCCGCCTCATGGTGGTGATGACGGTGATGCGGTTCTCCGACAGCTCTCTCAGCTGGTTGATGTGCTCCTGGACGCAGGGGCTGGGCCAGGGGTGTCCGTTCAGATAGTCCCTCAGGATGAAGGACCTCTCCACCAGGAGCTCCAGCCGCACCAGGTGCCGCAGGCGATGGAGGCTCAGGAGGTCTTTCTCCGGCTCTCTGCGGAAAAACCTGAGAAACAGAGAGAGGACGGGGCGAGTTTTTTAATACATTGTTGGGAAGACACTGAATGTCCTCTTCCAATATGAGAGTAACGTGATAACAAAGGTATCCCAACTGTAGCTGTGAACATGACAGGATGTCTGATTACCTAGAAGAGCATCAGGACTGTTTGAGGCATATGATAGCTATGTGATTAACATGATGATTCAGCCTCTATGGAGATAGACATATGACAAGCATGCTCATTTCTGACGTGGAGCTAATCTGAAGTAAACATTGAATACTGCTTTCTATTCCTCCATCTTGTGACTGTGTAACTCCCTCTCTTGGATATCAGCATGTGAAGGACACTGTTCAGGAACTAGTTGATGCTCTGTATGTGATGACTACTTCCATTCTGGAGAGGATCACAGATACATGGATCCTGAGATTGAAGCTCAAGCCGGGGACCAGGGAGAGTTTTCTAATGGCGCATTTCCACTACACGGCCTTGCTCGGTATGTCTAGGCCTTGGTAGGCCAGGCTCACTTTATGGCGCATTTCCATTACAGTTTAGGAACTGGGGTAGTAACTATAGTAACGCAGTGTAGGCGGAGCCGTGACGTCATCTTCAATGAGAACCCCAGAAAAACCAACAAAGCCGTTAGCTGTTAGCACTCAGAGCTCACAGCTCCTCATATCTGTTCAGAAACTAGACAGAAGTTAAACAAGTACAAACCACAGACTGCCTGTGTCATGGCGAATACAGTCGCTGCTTTATTTATGTCTGGAGGCCGTTGTTATGAGTGTGGACGGTCGGAGCATACACTGCGTTAGCTTAGCCCATCTCCATTCAGAAAACATACATTTTAAAAGGTTTTTCGCCTGCCGTCTGTCTGCAGACTTGTCAAAGCATTAATTCATGGTTTTTACTAACCGGTATCAGTATGATGTTACTTCATCATTTTGAAACGTGTATTACAATTAAATCACGGTCAAATATGTTCATCTTGTTGTAGTTGTAGCCCCCTTGCCAGCGATTCTCTCTCTAGTTTAGCAAACTCAGCGCAGTTGTTGGCCCGGAAAGAACCTGGATTTTATGGGGCCAGAAAAACTGTGAAATAGTACCCGCTAGCCGGAACTACGCCAAGTGGAAACGCAACCAAAAACGGGCCGGGCACGGCTCGGCTCGCTTAAAGCGAGCTCCGCGCTGTAGTCGAAATGCGCCATTACAGTCATGAACAGTGAGAAATCCAGTGTTTGTTGCAGTGTTTCTTACGGGGTGTGAGTGTAGCCTTTACACGGTTGTCATCTAAACATAATTAATATGTTTCTAAGGCTAATAATAGTTTGTTGTTATATAATTGAAATGTGTCCCGGAACAATAGTCTGAGAGTACCAAGCGCCACGACAGCGAGACACTTTATAGCTCCATTAGAAGTTAAAGTTGATAAAAGACACAGGAATACTTCCCTCTTTTCAGAGCATGCAGCCAACAAGTTTGCACTATAAGTCCCTCGAAGACACGGGTGAATTCGAGACAAATAACCCCGTTAAGAGCGAGCCGATACAGCTCCTGCCCAAACAATCCCAATCCCAAGTGTTTACCTATTGTTAGGAGAATAATCTACATTCTGCATGACCAGACACAACAAGCAAAGCACTACAACTCCTGTCCCTATCTGACAAAAGAGAGACCCGTAACCGATATGATGGACTACCAGATGTCCCTGCAGAACATCCTGTGCCAACAGGCAGGAATAAGGAGAGACGTGTATTAAACGGGGACAATGCACACTAATAAACCCTGCTGGAAATGCACCAGAGTTGGTCAAGAAGCACATTTTATTTCCTCTGTAGTCCCTAGACTAGATGTTTTCAAATCACCCTAAAAACTAATGATGTCCTCACTGGTCAGATCGTTCCCAGTGGTAAAAGCTGAATCTTGTTTTCCTCACCGTATCCTGAGTGTTTTGAGCTGAGGGAACAGCATGGGGATCCGTCTGCAGAGACTCCCGCTGGATCTGTTCTGCTCGATGTCCAGATGCTCCAGAGCCGGGACTTTGGGAGCGATGGAGTCCATGTCCTTCAGAGTTATAGCCACTCTGAGCGTGAGGCGGGACACACTGGAGGGGATGGTGGTGGTGTAGGCGGCCAGAGAGTTTCCCCCTGAGAGGAGAGGAGACAACAAGGAAGAGACACGTTAAACATCTGGCCAGAGAGGGCAAAAGTACACACTTCCTTTACTCAAGTAGAAGTACAGATACTCGTGTTTAAAAATACTCTGGTGAAAGTAGAAGTACTGACTAAACTTCTTTACTCAAGTAGAAGTCCAGATACTCGTGTTTAAAAATACTCTAGTAAAAGTAGAAGTACTGACTAAACTTCTTTACTCAAGTCAAAGTAAAGAGGGCTTTGAAATGTACTTCAGTAAAAAGTACCCATAACTAGCAGCTGTTTTAAAGAGTACCTGACCTCCCTTTATATTAATAGAACAATAATGTCATTGTTAGCTAATGAATGTTTCCATGCTGAACAACGGCAACATGACAACGTTTTCATTGGTCCCTCTTCTTTAGAGAAGACCAGGAAATGATGGATACACGGATCGTGTTCAAATCAATAGGCACGCAATGACTCTGAATAATAATGATCACGCCACCAAACCTCTCTCAGAACCATGTGATCTGTGCTCACCGACGATGCAGAGGGTCTCCAGCTGCTGCAGGGGCTTCAGCCAGGAGGCCAGGCGGCACTCGATGCCCTCTCTGATGTATCTGTACCGAACAGTGAGAGAGCGCAGAGACGAGAAGCTCTGCAGGGCGTTCTCAGGCAGGATGCATTCTGGGTAATCCACCAGCTCCAGACTGGTGAGCGTCGGGCCTCCGTACCTGGGAACACCTTTACAAAAATGAAAGACATTAAGAAACATATTATAAAATGACATTTAAAAGCAAAGGAACATGAATTAAAGTGACAGAGCAGTGTGAGATACACACATCTGAAATGTTGAGCTCTGACTCTCAATCATCGCTCACTTTTTAGAAGAGATTAGAGATGTCCCGATCCGATCACGTGATCGGGGATCGGAGCCGATCACGTGATTTTCAAAAGATCTGAATCGGGAGAAAAAAATCGGGGATCGGGAATTTTTTTTTATTTATTTTTTTTATAATTTTTTTTTTTTTAATTTAATGTTACAAAACAAAAATGACCATGTTCACGTCTTAAAGTCATCCTGAGGCCTTAGTTTTGGTTTAAAATTACACAACATCATGTATGTGTTGCTTCTTTTGGGCTTGTTTTCATCGACCTGGTTGCTTATTTCTCTCAAATCTGGCAACAGAGTGGGCGCAGTGTCTAATAGTAGCAGTAAGCTAACGAGAGGCTACGTTCAGCTGGTGACTCGGGAGTCGGGACAGAGAAAATGTCAGGAGTTTGGAAGTATTATAAAATTGAAAGCGAAGGCAGTGTAACAGCCAGATGCAATGTTTGCAAGGCGGAGGTTCTGCGTGGTGGAAAGAACAGAGCTACGTACAACACGACCAATCTAATACAAACACCACCAACAACACGAGGAGTACACAGCGGCCACTCAGGTAACGGCACTGAAACAACCAACACTTTCAGAGACTTTTAAAAGGAAAGAGAAACTGCCCCAGAACAGTGAAAAGGCCAAAAAAATAACAGCCAAGATAGCTGAATTCATCGCGTTGGATGACCAGCCGTTATCTGTTACCTTTTTTTTCTCTTAATGCATTGCATAAAGATCGGATCGGGAAAAATCGGTATCGGCAGATTGTCAAAATCAAATGATCGGAATCGGATCGGGAGCAAAAAAAGGTGATCGGGACATCCCTAGAAGAGATAGTTTTCTATGACCTCACTTTCTTTCTACTTTCTTGTTTAACTTGTCCTTAGTTATTTATATACAAGTGCTTCAAGCTAAACCAACCCCCTTATTCTTCTAATCTGACCCCATGGTACCTTTTAGTTTTCACCAAAACTATTCCTTTTTTTTTTTAATGCACATAGTTATTAGTTTGACTCAAGTACAAAATCTGAGTACTTATACTTTTACTCGAGTACAAGATCTGAGTACTTCTACTTTTACTCGAGTACAAGATCTGATGCCAATTATGTTATGGTTTACAAAACGTCATCATCTTTTGTGATTTAAAAAGGGACTACAGATGCAGGAGTTTGTAGTAACAGAGACACTTCAGCAGCTGATAAGAACAGGTGACCTTCTGTCTCACCTGGGCTCTCTGGGTCTGATGGACTCGGGTAATAATGACCTTCTGTCTCACCTGGGCTCTCTGGGTCTGATGGACTCAGGTAATAATGACCTTCTGTCTCACCTGTGTGTTCTGGGTCTGATGGACTCAGGTAATAATGACCTTCTGTCTCACCTGGGCTCTCTGGGTCTGATGGACTCAGGTAATAATGACCTTCTGTCTCATCTGTGTGTTCTGGGTCTGATGGACTCAGGTAGTAATGACCTTCTGTCTCACCTGGGCTCTCTGGGTCTGATGGACTCAGGTAATAATGACCTTCTGTCTCACCTGTGTGTTCTGGGTCTGATGGACTCAGGTAGTTGTCAGGTAGAGGTGCAGGTGGTTCCCCTCTCATCCCCCAGGACAGGTGCTTCAGTTTCTTCAGGCTCAGCAGGAGGTTGTGGAAGACCTCGCAGGGCACGGGCCTCACGGTGTCCAGCCCGTAGCCCTCCCCCTGCTGGTGGAACAGCAGGTACTGCAGGTTCACCAGGTGAGACACGCACTGGATGAAGTGCACGCAGCAGGGCAGCTTCACATTGCACACGCTCAGGTGAGTCAGGCGCTCCTGGAGCTTAGAGGTGAGACTGGACCCTAGCATGGGCTCCTCCCAGGTGCCGTTCCTCACCCCGATGTCCTTTAATGTGGAGAGAAATCACTGGTTAAGTAAAAAAGTGAGGAAACATTTAACATAACAGCACAATCACTGAGAGAAAACATGCTCAAAGACCCTTTAGTGTGCATTAAATTGTGTACTTTTACTCCACGGTATTTAATACCTTTAGTTACTTTAAAGGTTTGGATTAATGACTAACTAACTATATTTTGATGATAATACTTTTCTACTTTTACTTGAGTAACATTTTGAATGCAGGACTTTTACTGTAACAGAGTATTCCTACACTCTGGTACTTCTACTTTTACTCAAGTACAAGATCTGAGTACTTCTACTTTTACTCAAGTAGCCTATATGATCTGAGTACTTCTACTTTTACTCAAGTAGCCTACATGATCTGAGTACTTCTACTTTTACTCAAGTAGCCTACATGATCTGAGTACTTCTACTTTTACTCAAGTACAAGATCTGAGTACTTCTGCTTTTACTCAAGTACAAGACCTTAGTACTACTACAAGATGCGAGTACTACTACTTTTACTCAAGTACAAGATCTGAGTTCTTCTTCTTGTACTCAAGTACAACATCTGTGTACTTTTATTCAAGTACAATATCGGTGTTTTCTCTAATGACCCTGATATAATAAATACACACATTAATACTATGTTTACCCACCTTCAGCCCGGGAAAATGCGCCAGATTCTCCATGTATTTCCCTTTGTATTTCCTCCCTCCGTCCACGAAGACCACCGCGCTGAGCGTCGGGAGGAATTTAACGAGGCGACGCCACTCTTTACGCCGCAAATGACGCACCGCAACCCGGGTAAGTTTTCGGTCTCGCAGCATGTCCCAGAAACCGTAGGTATATCGTCTCAGGTCGCACAGCATCACGGTGTGATTCCTCCACAAAGACGGCTGATCGATGAGCACCTTCAGCTGTCTGCAGCCGAAGCGCACCGTGTGTTTCTCCTCGGTGCTCAGGAAGCTCAAGATGTACACCCAGACTTCCGGAGGCAGCTGCGGGAGATCCTCCATCGAGAGGCGGGTAGAGGATGGAGATAGAGCCGCTGAATCTCTCTGGATGACTGCATGCATGAACCACCGTGCGCTTTTATTGTTGACACTCCGCCCCGATTTGAAGCAGTCGCAGTGTGGTGACGTCGATTGTTGTTATCCTAGAGCAGGGGTGTCCAAACTCCGGCCCGGGGCCCAAATGCGGCCCGCGGACCATTTTGAATCAGCCCTCAGCAAATTCAAAAAGTAAAATGAAATATGGCCCACAGATGAAACTTGTGCTTGTCTTATACTGTACTTCTTAAATATAAATGTACAAATATATTACACAGTAGTATTCCTGTGTTAATAAGACCACTTGAAACATTTTTCTAACATATCTTAGTTGATAAGAAAAAAGCCCAATGTCTTATTTACATAACAAGCTTGAAATACACCCTTGTAGTGCCGAGAGAAGGGAGTCGGAGGCGGTGCAATGAAGGTAAAAAGTGATGCTTTAATGAGCAGCAGAAAACCACATGTTGTCGGGTCGCAGCCCGGGAAGAAGAGAAAGCGAGGGCACGCCATAAATACAGTCAACAACATATGTGTCCGTGCGGAAACAATACCCCCAACCTGTAGTTCCATGAGTGAATTATGTAACCTAGTTAATTAGTGATCACTACACCCTTCATATTTCCTCTTATTATAATCAATCTGAGGCTTCTGTTTTAAGGGATGAGTTGCTAACACTCACAAGCATCATTTACTTACATTTGATTGATTTTTCCAACTTATAACTGAACTTAAGAGGCGATAAACCTCTAGTGAGCGGCCCAGCCCTTCCTATATATTTTTCTGTATGTGGCCCTCGGTGAAAAAAGTTTGGACACTCTTAGTCTTAGAGCATACTGATATTTACACAACAAAACAATTATGATTTGAGTCAAAATTAAGTAAATATCATGATTTCGTGTTATAATAAATAAGTTGGTACTTGTGGGTTATCTGTCGCCACTTTTTAATAGCGGGTGTAGCTGGCTCCTGCACATTAACTTTTTAATTTCTCAAAATAACAAACTTTAATCCTAGGGGTTAAGGTTAGTCTGAAAAAAAACTTAAAAAGTGGCGACAGATAACCCACAAGTACCAATAAGTTTAATATGAAACGAAAGTATTTCACAGCCGTTTTTTCTAGGAAGAATATCCATGTCATTTCATTTCATTTCAAACCTTTATTTAACCAGATTGGTCCCATTGAGATCATAGATCTCTTTTTCAAGGGAGACCTGCAGCATATAGGTTCCACATGAAACATAAAAATGTTTGTGCACTCTTTTTAGTTAAGGACTTTACATTTATATTAAATTATAACTACATTTCACAACACTGAATTGTCATTTAAATACTTGTCTAGTAAAACCTGCCTTTTTAATAATCATGATTGTATTTATTTTATATGATGAACCGTGAGCTTGTGTTGATGCTATGACAACACGATCGCTTCAGTCAAATGAATAAAGTTGGGAGATACATTTGATTTAAATTCATAGATGCATACAAATGTTATGGTTTAAATCAGGGATCGGCAACCTTTTTGATATGAAGTGCCATTAAAAAAAAAAATTGTTATCAGCGTGCCAACGATCGAGAATTATCAACGGGGGGGGGGTGTTGAGGAGCTTGACGCTCGTGAACTATCAACAGGAGGGCGGGGGGGCCTCGCTGCGGGGAAGCAGTGTGTGGACCTGTCAGCGCAACTTACATGATACCGAATTTAACAAACACATTTAAATAATTGGTTTAAACGGCATAATAATAAGGACGATCGTCCGTTCTGTGATTCTCCAGAACACACATGTTATGATATTAGGGTCATGCAGAGTGAGATGAGATCGCTGTCCCTTTAAGAGAGAGAGAGAGGGGTGTGGCGTGCGCACGTGTGTGTGTGGATGGTAGAGCGAGAGTGAGCGAGCGTGTGTATGTTTCTGGAAGTGAAACGAGGCAGCAGAAAAACAGAGGTCTGTGATGTATTTTGTGAAACAGAAGAACAGCTAAATAAATGCAACGGCCTCCCAAGAAGAGCTCGTCTCTCTCCAGTCATTTAAGCTAAAGTGGGTTATTAAACCTGAAGCTTGTTGCTTCTGCCCTCCTCGACTACGGTCTGGGAGCCGACAGGAAAGTTCAACACACAGATGGCCAGTCCGCCCCTTTGTAGCATATTATTTCAATGAGAGATGAGCAGATCGCCACTGGGCTTTCAACTAAAGACACAGCCACGCAAAAACTGCGGCATTTGTAAAGCTTCTTGTGGGTACTGCAATTTGTGAAGTGCTTTCCTCTGTGGTGAAACGATCAGCCCTGTGAGTATGTGTTCGCCCTACCATATGTGTTCTGGGTCCGTCGCTTACCAATGACGTCACGCATTGTGATTGGCTGTACGGTAATCGCACGCTGATTGGTGTAACTAGGGGCGCTGACTAGGGTATACCGGGGGTCTGACTCTGATCAAAGGATGAAGCTGTTAACGTGCTGCTACCATAAACTGGCTGTGGCCCACAAACTGAAGCAGAATGATCTAGGGCTGTCCCGAATACCATTTTTCGGGCTCCGGATATTCGGTAGCAATCAGCAGCGAATATTCGTAACGGACCCCGAACACATCTGGTCGGCCGAACACATATGGTACCTACACCTGCACCACGGAGGAAAGCGGCAGAAAGTCACCTGGATTTAAAGAGAGCGGGGCTGCGTTGGGTGCTTGGCTTCCTTCTGCAGGTAACGGGGAGACGCGCTCTGGCGGCGGTCTCGTTCAGGATCCGAAAATACAATTTAAATATTTTGCACACTTATTCCACTTATTCCTAGTGTGCCACTGGTTACGGTGCCGCGTGCCAATGCTGGCACGCGTGCCAGGGGTTGCCGAAAGGCTATTCATGTGTTTGGACCATTTACCTAAAAAATACATATAAACGTCGATTTACTGTTAGTCAATGGGATAAACATCCTTTTGGACTCAATTACATCATGAGACTGCTACAAATAATTGCCTTAAAGGGGCCCTTTTATGCTCATCTTACATTACATGTCACTTGTTAGACGCTTTTATCCAAAGTAAAGCAACATTCAATACTGTGGGCAATCCACACAGTGCCTCTACTGTGACATGTCTCCTTGCTTTAATGTTCAAAAAGCTCTTTATTTTTCTCATACTGCCTGTGCTGCAGCATCTTTTCAACCTGGTTGTTTACGTGTACACTTCCTGGGGACTTGCTCTGACGCAGCAGGCAGAACTAACGAGAAACCACATTCTAGTCTGACAACTTTGAGCTGTACTCCGCCACTGGCCAGCTAAAGCACGTAAAAGGAACAGAAACCACCTATTTGCTTCGACCAGAGGCAAGCAAGACTTAAACTTTGAGAGACTACCACAACAAATGAAAGGTGAGAAAAACTAATGTTTGTGTATTGTTATACAGTACCGTGGGAATTTGAAAAGTAATCAGGATGTGATTTACATCTCTTCGTGGAGGTCCCTTTACTTTTTCTTTCGTTTTCTTCTCGTATCTTCCTGTAATTCTTCTTCATGTTGTGCTGCTCTGGGTTGCACTCTAGAAAAAACTGAAATGTAAATACTAGTATATACTTCAATATCTATTACAATGTGAAAAATCAAATGGAATGAAAAATAAATGGATGAAGAATAAAAGGTCATTGTATCGAAAAAGCTATCTTTCAAAAATGAAACTGTATGTTTGGACTAGGCTAAGAATAACTTCAGCCTACTTTCAGCTACAGAAACCATTCAAATATCAAACTATTCAGCCTTTTCAGCACATGATGGGAAACTTTCAACTTTTTCAAAATATTTATTTTAATATTCAGCTTTTTAAAGTCTTTTTTTAACATGTAACTCAATGGGAGGAACCTTCAAATCCTCTTTTAGCACATTGCGCCAAATGCTTCTCCTTCCACATACTTTCAGCTAGAAACTTCATTCCAACTTTAAAATGATCACAAGACATTCAGCTATAACACTTGTTCTTCAGATTTTTGATATCTTTTACACTTTTTGAGATATTTAACTTAGTTTGGAGCTTGGTAAAGAGGCCTTCTTCAGATTTTAACATTAGTGTGTTTGAGCAGCTCGTTAAGGCGTGACGTGCTTTGATCAAAACAGAGTGGAGGACAGCTTGAAATTCGCCTTACATTTTTTAATTCCCAAACCACTCCTGGGACATAATGTTATGCTTGAATTGTAGGAAAACCTCTCTCGTTAATAACGCCTTAACTTTGACAGCCCTAGTTTTTACAGAAGGGTTTGTTCATATATCATTCATAGCCTGAATGATATATCATTTTATACCTAAAAACATGGCGGAAATTGATATGTTAGGGCTGTTGACAGTATTTTCTGATTTATGGAGTGATAAAAAGAGATATCCAAAATCCCTTCTGTAAAAACTTTAGATTCTAATATGACTACAAAATTAAACAAGAATTCGTGCAGCTTTACTTACTTAATACACTAAGACTATGTTGAATTAACTTCCTTTTTGAAGGTCCCTATAATCTCTGTTTCAGACAAACTTAGTCCAAACATAGTTTCATTTTTGAAAGATAGCTTTTTCGATACAATTGGACCTTTTATTTTGGATCCATTTATTTTTCATTTAATTTAATTTGTCATATTGTAATAGATATTGCAGTATATACTAGTATTTACATTTCAGTTTTTTCTAGAGTGCAGCCCAGAGTAGCACAACATGAAGAAGAACTAGAAAATGCATTTCCTGCAGAAAATGCGTGTGAATGCTGTAAACTGTGAACATTTGTGGCTGAATTTAGCTGAAAATGCAGAAAAAAGCTGAATATGTTATTAGCTGAATGGTAGCTGCTTTTAGCTACAGAGACCAAGTCAGTGTGTTGCTGAACTTAGCAGAGAAATGCAGAAAAGTGAAATGATTTGAATTAAATTGTGACAGCTCAAATGCATTGCAATGACTTTGTTGAAAACTTGAAAGTGAAATGGTAAACTGGAAGAGTAGGAAAAATAGTGAAGAAGCTCAATATTTAAAGAAAAGGTTTAAAAAAGGTATAAACAACATCATGTATAGCCTCAATGTCCTGAAATAGCTGAACTACTTAGTGAATCAATGTGTATTAAGAAGAGAAGTAAAAAGGCTTGGGAAAGCAGCAGAATATTTTGACTGCAAACTTTTGAACTAAAACCAAATGTCACCAATAATGTATAAAATATGTGGAACCTGTTGAAGTCAGTATGAAGTCTCCATCAGACAGAAAAGAATAGGCTGAGACCCCGTTTACACGAGGACGATACGGTTTGTATCCGCATAGTTTCTCTTTCCCTTTCATTTACACAAGGCCGTAACAAAACGATAGAAACGGACCCCGCAAACGATAACGGGTCCCAAGGTGGATAGATCTGCAAACGGAACGCTCTGGGGGGGCAAACGGATCCGTGTGTACGCCTCTATACGATCATTTTCTGATAACGTGAAATAGCCCCCACGTCTCCTGCTCAGAGATCAGCTGCTGGGCTCTCAGAAGAGGGGGAGGAAAAGAGAGGCTCCGTTTATTATTCTTATATGATTATATAGAGTCGTTATCAATTTGTTTTAAAGCTCAATAAATAACAAAGAAGACCTATGACCGGCACTTTTCTAATTTTGTCCGGAAGATTTTAACTTTAACGGACATGTTGACCGGCGAATTTTTTTTAACGGAAACTCTGCCGCACGGTCCCCTCGTCCCTTGGAAGAGGCGGAGAGGTGGGTGTTTTTCATCTGCTGGTGGACTACCGGAGAGATTTACAGCAGGAGCACACGCCGTCCACCGCGGAGAATAAACAGAAGGGCAACCATGGCAACCATGCTCCGGGTTCTTCTTCGCTGCTTTTGGTGTATTTTGTGGCGGCAGCAGCGCCACTTACAGGCCCGGCATATGTACTACAGCGTTTCCAGCGGGTCGAGCGGTCTCGTGTGAACGGACACGTTAATTGAGCCGAATGCGTGTGAACGCAAGACTTTTTTGAAAACGCAAACGGTGCGTAAACGCAAACGTTCCCGTGTAAATGGGGTCTGAGACAGTCTTTAAACTCCAGTCTGTTTGTCAGTGTTTGTTTCTGTGCTGAGCACCTAATCATAACACCTGTTTAAGTGAGCCCAGAGATCAAAGGTTTCCATGGAGATGTGCTGTGAAAGGAGAGCCTTTCCATTGTTCTGAATGAGAAATAAACCTATTACATTTCTAACTATAGTTTAAAAATGGTAGCTGCTTTCGGTAAAATGTCAACGCGTGCAGCATGTCACGGACCCTGAGCGTCTGAAGTGTGCTTTTTGTGCACTTTCGGGTCAATAATGTGGCATTTTTGGCAGATTTACTAAAGGTGTGCAGCTGCTGAATTTACAATGGGCCTTAACGCCACTAATTATTTTAAAGGGCACATGTCATGGCCATTTCCACTGATCATAATTCCATTGTTGAGGTCTACTAAAATAGATTTATATTGTGCAATTTTCCAAACTCACATTGGTTTCTCAAACAGCATCTCTGTAAACTACGTGTATTCACTGAATTTCACTCTCTGCCTTTAACGGCTCGTTGAAGCTCCAATAGCTCCAGCCCCCACCCTCCCTGTGAGCACAGTGTGCTCTGATTGGTCGGGACGTTGTGAATCGCGCTGAGCTCCGTGGAGGTGTTGTTTCCTTGTTTAGCATACACAGCGAAACACAGCCAAACTCATCCTGAGCACACACAAAGTCACAGCCGAAGTAAAAACAATAAGTGTGGCTTGATATTGAGTAAGAAAAAGGTTGATAAACGCTGTGAGAATGGGTCTGCAGAGAGAATGGGTCTGCAGAGAGAATGGGTCTGCAGAGAGAATGGGTCTGCAGAGAGAATGGGTCTGCAGAGAGAATTTCGCCGCGATCCCAACTGTCTGTTATCAGCCTGCAGCCAGGGAGGAGAAATCAGCTGAGCTGCCTCACTGAGTGTGTGTGTGTGTGAGGAAGTCCGTGGATTGGTCAATTTGGACCAATCAGCGGGGGCTTAATGTAACGGCTCCGCGGACGTAACGTAACGGCTCCACGGATTGGTCCATTTCGATCCGGGTACGGGGTTACGTCACCCCGTCCCAGAAGAATCAAATGGACAATGACGTATCTCCAACGAGGCGTTTTGGGGAGGTATTTTCTGTGTTACAGTTTTACTCGCTACAGGGTGTACTTTGAGGGTTTTGACTCTGCAGACCGTTTACATGCAGAAAAACCTTCATAACACACAAGGGGACGGGTAATAACCAGAAAAGCATGACATGGGACCTTTAACTTGCGATTAACGCATGTGTATTTGCCCTCGGCGCGCCCCGTAGTTTCAGAGCGCAAAGGCTTGACGTTGTTGTTAGTTGTTGTTAGTTGGATGGTGGGAGATTCTAGCGAGAGATATGGATACAAGCAGGGCCGGCCCGTAGCACTGGCGTTATGGATGTTCGCCTAGGGCGCCAGATCTGGGGAGGCGCTGCGCTGGTAGAAAAACATTTTTGACCGTTGGTGCTCATCCTAATTTTCGGCCTTGATGTAACAATATTCATAATTAAGTCAATGTAACACCCTTTTCACCCCGGTTACACTTTTCATTTGCCCTGTACGATGGGTGCTGTAAGTGATGAAAATGGGGGATGTTGGCTTATCAGTCGCCCGCAGCTCACAGCCAAAGTGCGAGTGAGCATGGGAGCGAGCGAGGGAGAGAGGGCGCACCGGTACCGGCGCTGTTGTTATTAGACTCTGGTGCTAGCTGCTCTAACGGATATAAGAGTAGATGTTTCTACAATAATGTGGAGGGAGAGTCCTCTCCAGTCAGACTGAGAGGCTCAGTGAGGTAAAGGACTCTGAGTGTTTAGATAGTTCACTTTAGCCTAAGTTATCTCAGTGGGTCTCAAACGGTTTGGTCACAATTTATGTAAACACATATTTCCAAGGCACTCCTTTATAATTATTGGGATAAACAGGTTTGAAATCATTCCAATGATAGGACAGTAAACCAGACATATCGTTTAAAACTGGAGAGATTAAAACATATGCATAAATAAATAAATGTTAACTGGGTAAAATAAGATATAAATGAACAACAAAAATAAAATAAGTTTCATGTATTTGTTATTGGCTATGGGTTATTGGTTATGTTCACATACACACATTTGGTTATTAAAATGTAAACCAATCTTTTTCATATGGGTGTTTTAGAGTTGTACCCCCTAGATCAGGTCTCTAGTAATTCTGCTCAAAGTGCACCAGATTGAAGCATTTTACTTTAAAATGTTAAAAAAATCTTACCCCCGGACCCCCCTAGACTAGAGGATGTGACATCCATCCCCCATTATATTGCGTATGCCTTGGATACTCTATTGATCTTTATCTTTTCTATTGTACGATTCTCTGGCTGGGGCGCCAGCTCAAATCTCACCTAGGGCAGCAAATTGTCTAGAGCCGGCCCTGGATACAAGAAAAGGTGTTTAAAACGGCAAGCCAAGCACACAGCTGATGCTGACAGCCCCGCTCCTGCCGCTCACTTGCGGCAGACCACACTTGAAAGTTTTCCGGGGAGACGCCTGGACACATCTACGAGCAGCAAGCTTTTCATAGGCCGGCCCGCAGGAGGGAACGCAACATAGAACAATTCTATGATGTGTGGCACTTTGAAAAAGGTATTTATCCCTATATGTTTGAATGGAAGAATACCAAATCAGAGACACTATCCTTTGTTCAGATATTCCTTTGTTTTACTATGCAATTTATCCTGAGCTTCTAATCAGCAGCAGACATGACATCATGTCTGGATAGATACATGATTTATATCCCCCGACAATTTGTCCCTCTAATCTGGTCTTTCCTCTGTTATTGTAAACTGTCTGCCAGACCACTTGATCACAGCCCCTTTTGTCATTGTAAATTCAATTTCACTCACTACTCTTAGGATAACTCTTTAGAATGGGAATTTACAGTGATGTGTATATGAATATGTATGGGGGTTTCCTGGGCTGGCTATTAAATGCTTTCAGACAGAAGGGTGTCTCTCTGACCATTGTCAGGCAATTATCATATGGATGTTATGGTTGTAATTAACATGCTGTGCTTACCCTTCTGTCTGCCCCCCACCCTTCTTTCCACCACACCCTTGAATATTGTCCATCACAGCACATCATTTACACACTATGGCTTGAATATTCACTTGTGCATGTGTTTTCTTTTTATCAGGTTTGTCCAAGAAACTTGTGAAACTTTCACAGAACAAGGACTGCAAGTTGTTGAAGAGGTGGCTGCACAGCATAAAAACCCATGTATACTGGAGTGCGACGAGCACAACCTCGGGGCCGGAGAAGGTGGCAAGGTGGACGTCAGTCGTCAACCACCTACAAAACATTCACGTGCACGACGACCCCCTATTCCCCAAGTGTGAACATCCTGAAAGAGCCACAACAGATGCAAATAAATGGCTAAAACCTGGTAAGTTCAATATTTATAAAACAATTGGAAATAACAAGTGAGAAATTTAAAAACACTTCACTTCCTTCATAATATCAACAATATTGAATGTAAATATAACATTGTTGTTATGGAAAATGATAGTTGTAATGTTCTAATGGGATGTTGATGTTTTTGTAATTTCACTCAAGATTCAATAACACTCCACAAAGTTGACAAAATACTCAACAACACGAGAGTTCTCAAAGATGTGAAAAAGCTAAGCCATCACTACCAGACCTCGCTGGAGTCCTTCCACAGCTTGATTCTGCGTTTTGCCCCCAAAAAGGTGGTTTTCCCCTTCATGGGAATGTTGTGCAGGTAACACACTGTATAATTGATTCTGTAGCATCTTATAACACAGTCACTGTTTAGTGGCATGAGGGTTTTATTCTGTCATAACACAAAGTCTCATTTTATTTTGCTATTCTATAGGTTGTGTCTAGCAGCCATGCATCACAATGAGAATGCTGACCGTGAGCAAGCCACAACAGCTGCAGGACTACTTGTGTACAAATTGGCCTATCCAAAAGCAAGGAGGGGAGAATGTACCGCAAAGCCTGTAAAGAAGGACCCTACATACAGTAAGTTGTCAAATATTTTTGTTTTTATTAAAAACATAACTTACATTTTAAATGATTATTGCACAAAGTACCAATGAACTGGCCAGATATATGGAGAACCGGGATGGGCATGGGCGGAGCCTCTCTGGTGGTTGACTAATCAGAACAGAGTGGCCGAGCTGACCAATCGGAGCACACTAGGCTCACAGGGAGGGGGGGGGCAGGAGCACAATCAAGCCGTTTTGAACAGAGAGTGAATACTGCTGAATACACATACTATACAGAGATGCTGTATGCGAAACCAATGTGAGTTTGGAAAATTGCACAGTATAAATCTATTTTAGTAGACCTCAACAATGTAATTATGATCAGTGGAAATGGCCATGACATGGGCCCTTTAAGGATCACAACATGAGTCCCAGTTCCCAGCTGAAGTGGAAAACTGGACAAAGGAGGAAGTGGCTCAGTGGTTAGTGGGGCATGTGAAGGGCGATGGCAAAAAGGCTGCACGATTTTTCAAGAGCAAGAAGTGTCTGGAGATTGTCTTGTTTGCTTCGAGGAGCAGGATTTCCTGCATCTGGGGCTAAAGAGGGGTCCCGCTATCAAGATCCTGAAGGAGCTCAGACGACTGAGAAATCAAGAGTCAACGCCACCATCCAGAATCAGAACTTTCTTTATGGGCAAAAACAAACAAGCAGGCAAGAATCTGCCAACGGAGAGAAAGACAACTGAAGTAACATTTCAGGTTTGTTTTCCAGTTCATGAGAATGTTGTTGTTGTTTGAGCGGTGTGAGAAATATCGGCTTCTTCCAGGTTAAACTTTAGTGCTTTATTTTTTCATTTCTATTCTGTTTTTTTCTTCAGAAACCAGCCCCGTTGATCAAGGATACCCTGGATGGGCTTTCGACTCTATACTCTAGTTTGGGTAAATGGGCCGCTAAAGATATGATCAATTTAGCCAGTTAATTAATTATCTACGATTGTTATCGAACTAGGTTGCATAACATGAACACTACTGTGTAATATATGTTTACAGATATATTTAAGAAGTACAATACAACACAAGCTCAAGTTTCATTTGTGGGCCGCATTCCATTATGCTTTTTTAATTTGCTGAGGGCTGATTCAAAATGGCCCGCGGGCTGCATTTGGCCCCCGGGCCATAGTTTGGACACCCCTGATCTATAGCAACTGAATGTGGAGTTATCTAAGGTTTTAAACCCAAAATATTACCGTACAGGTTCACTCTAGTTCTAGTTTTAGAGAAAGTACTAGGTTTGATAAGGAGACTAACAGCAGGAATCTCTTCAATCAGAGTACATAATGTATCTCCAATAAAATGTATCCTACTGATCAGCAGCCCGTGAGACGTTCAGGGAACCTGTGGGAAAGACAGAAAATAACCTGGGTTACACATGGATCTTTTGACAGATTTGTTCAATGTGGAGGAAAATATAACTGTTCACTGCAGTAACTGGTTTTGTGTGTTTTGTTTTGTTAATAAATTAATCGTTTGTACTTCAACTATTTCTATTTAAAGGGCCCATGTCATGGCCATTTCCACTGATCATAATTACATTGTTGAGGTATACTAAAATAGATTTATACTGTGCAATTTTCCAAACTCACATTGGTTTCGCATACAGCATCTCTGTCAAGCATGTGTATTCAGCAGTATTCACTTTCTCCACTAAACGACTCGTTGGAGCTCTTGCCCCCCCCCTCCCTGTGAGCCTAGTGTGCTCCGATTGGTCAGCTCGGCCACTCGTTCTGATTAGTCAACCACCAGAGAGGCTGCGCCCATGTCAGTGCTTTTCCCGGCTGCTCTCAGCGTAACATCAGTCTTATCATGGCGTCGGTACAGCGGTATATTTTATATACATATATATTTTTTAACTGTTGTTATAGAAGAGTGTGACGGCCTCAGGGCCTTTGTCTTACGGTGGGGTGGAGCTGAAGAGGGTAATCAGCGCGATCACGGACACCTCCGTAGCCGGTGCTATTAATCCCAGCGGCCCGGAGTCTCTCTCCAAAGCGGCTGCAGAAGGACGAACTGAGCGACCCTCTCCCCTCGACCACCTGTCTCTGCATTTACCACAATAAATGTGCCGTGGTTTTGTAAACTCGTGTATGTCTCCTTGTCTTTCCGTTGTGGCCTACGAGCTACTCTCATAACAAAGAGTAAGTTATTTTTACCCGTTATAAACTACTACTGTTTGATGAGAAATCAAATCATGGTTTGCTATATATGAATTCAGGGAAGAAAGGATAGGCCTACTAAGTATTTCCATTAAACTTTATTTTTAGAAATGTACAAAATGAACATAAATATACATATATACACGGTATATCATCCATTCCTCCTCCTCGCATCTTGCCTGCGCACAGTCGGTGCGGTGCCTTTTAGCACCCTCAGTAGTAGTAGAATCCCTTCCCCGTCATGGATTGTCCGCCAGGATCTGGCTGGACGAAATCAAATGCAAATCACAAAATATTAGAGAAACTTAGTTGTTTTAGATTCGTTAGTAGTAGTTGTGTAATGAACAGCTTGCCTGCTAATATGCTAACCTAGCTTTGTTTACCTTGGTAGCTAACACGATATGAACGTTAGCTTGGAGGAAAGGCAACTATAATGCAGTGTAATAAAACTACTATGAACAAAAGCTAGTGGTTCATATTAGGCTAGCAATAACGTGTTTATTATTGCAATCGTATACGGGTATTCTGCTACCATACAATGTAACTTGCATGAATACATTGTTTTGCGCTAGCATACAGCTAGCCTCGTTAGCTACATGCAGTATATGTACGGTCACAATGTACGGTAAATCACAGTACAGTATACTGTATGAGTATTCCGTGTGTGTGACTGCAGACATTCTCCTGCCATGACAAACATGTAAGGCCATCTGCTGACATTGTAGTTGATATATTTAAACGCTAGCAACGTAGCATCACAAAAATGTTTTTCTGACCAAAACTAGCTCTAGCTCCGTGTGTTAGATCGCTACGCCAGCTATAATGTAATTACGTTTCGCGACTGACCGGCAAATCACCCGGAGTATACTGTCAATAGGTATTTTGTGTGTGAATGCAGACATTCTCCTGCTATGAGATACATGTATGCAAGGCCATCTGCTGATATTAGAGTTGATATATGGAAACTCTAGCAACTTAGTTAGCACAGTTAGCACTGTGTCAATGGCTTAGCAGTCCAACACAGTTTACACATTTAAACAGTCTTGTTTGATAAATACACAAATAACAATGCAAACTTACAGGTTGTATACCCAGATCTTCCCCTGCTCCAAACGGTCCAAACAAGCTGTGCATATCCGGCCTCAAACTGGGCAATGTTTTGGAAGCTTTCGTCTGTGAAATGCCGGTTCTTCGAACCTCTGGAGGAGGAACACGCCGCTGCTGGTGTGGCCATAGCTCTTCGGGATTGGTCCATTTCGTTCCGGGTACCGCATGACATCAGGCGGTACCCGGAACTAAATGGAAGACTCAAATGGGCAGTGACGTATCTCCAACGAGGCGTTTTGGGGAGGTATTTTCTGTGTTAGAGTTTTACTCGCTACAGGGTGTACTTTGAGGGTTTTGACTCTGCACACCGTTTACATGCATAAAAACCTTCATAACACACAAGGGGACGGGTAATAACCGGAAAAGCATGACATGGGAGCTTTAAAGGTCTCCTATCATGCAAAATGCACTTTTTGATGTCTTGTCTACATCAACATGTGTCCCCGGTGTGTCGGGGAACTCACGCAGCGTCAGAAAATAAAACCCTCTCTCTTTTCCTCCGTACCCAAATCTCTAAAAAAACGGGGGAACAACGGAGCTGATCCAGATTTGCTGCCGATATGACGTAATTTCGGATGGTGGACCCACAGAGAGTTCAAATTCAAATTCAATTCAAAAGCTTTTATTGTCATTGTACAGAATACAACGAGATTTATAGTTACTGCTCCAGCGAGTTCTTTAAAAACAGACATATTAAAACACAGATTAAAAGGTCTGACAGTTACGACCAGCAAGTAGCGCACACAGCTTCGGATCGTCATGTAGATGACCAGGATTAATAAATAAATGAATAAAATAGAATTATGATCAAATATATATGATAAATATTACAGTATATACATAGAGACAGACCATAATTGTTGCACAGTGGGGATATGGGGAGTTATCTTTGTGTGTTTAATGTCCTAATGGCCCATGGGAAGAAATTGTTTGTGAATTTGGAGGTGCGGGCTTTCAGTGAACGGTAGCGCCGGCCCGAGGGCAGCAGGTCGAACTTTTTGAACTGAACCCGGCCTCGCCTATACTCTGCGCAGTCGTGTATCGTCCACCAAAGTGCAATAAGGATTTCATAAATGACTTTTCTGACTTTCTGTCCGGGATCATGGTGAAATATGATCGTGTTTTGATCTCCGGAGACTTCAATGTCCATGTGTGTTGCGAGTCCAAACCTCTGGTTAGGGACTTTTTAAATCTCCTTGATTCTTTCGGTCTCGTTCAGTCCGTGGCTGGTCCAACACACGAAAAAGGACACACTTTGGACTTAGTATTATCGTTTGGACTGTCTGTCTCTGTGGATGAAATCTGTGCAGCAACGCGTATCTCAGACCATTTACCGGTTCTGTTTACAACCTCGATCCCTTCCGCAGGAGTCGAATCACGTGTCCCTGCGCGTCGTCTGCGTTCGATTAACCCCTTGACTGCCTCACAGTTTTCTGATGTTTTTAATGCTTCTCCTATCTGTAAATTAGAGGTGAACTGTGCTCTTAGTGCGGATGAGCTTATCTCCATGTTTGACTCGACATGTACCCTAATACTGGATTCTGTTGCTCCTTTTACGCTTAGACGCACCAAAGTTCTCTCAGAGCCGTGGCTCAATGACTGTACTCGTGCTCTCAGACGCGCTTGCAGGTGTGCAGAGAGAAAATGGAAAAAGGATCAACTCCATGTCTCCCTAGAAATCCTTCGTGCTTGCCTTTCTGACTACCAGACGGCAGTCAAAGCAGCCAAAACAGAGCACAAATCTCGATCCCTCCATTCTCGCAAATTTTAGGCCCATCTCCCAGCTACCTTTTTTATCTAAAGTCCTGGAGCGAGTAGTCTATGTCCAGCTGCAGTCGTTCTTAACCACGCATGGCATCCATGAAAAGTTTCAGTCTGGCTTCAAACCCATGCACAGCACTGAAACAGCCCTTTTAAGAGTTTTTAATGATCTGCTCCTAGCCGCCGACTCAGGTAGCCCAGCTGTCCTGGTGCCGTTAGACCTGACAGCTGCCTTTGACACTGTGGACCATAGCATCCTGTTGTCACAGCTTGAACAGTCCGCTGGCATCACAGGCTCTGCCCTTGCATGGTTCAGGTCCTACCTGACAGACCGTAGCTTCTCAGTGCAGCTAGGTGCCTTCTCCTCTGCTAAAGCCCCTCTTACCTGTGGGGTTCCCCAAGGCTCTATCCTGGGTCCCATCCTCTTTTTACTGTACATACTGCCCCTAGGTTCAATTCTCACTAAACACAATATTCCCTTCCACTGCTACGCCGACGATGTACAGATCTATCTGCCTCTCAAAGCAAATGTCAAACACTCACTACAGCAGTTGATGGACTGCTTAGCAGAGATAAAATCCTGGCTGAGCAAAAACGTCCTCAACCTCAACGAGAGCAAGACTGAGGTCATCTTTTTTGGACCCCAACCTCCAGCCTCTCCGGTTGATATTCTGGGCTCTCTCAATAAAAACATCCTCCCCTCGGTCATGAACCTTGGAGTGACCTTCACTAGCACTTTTAAATTCGACAAGCAGGTCAGCACCATAGTCAAATCCTGCTTTTTTTAAATAAGACTATTGGCCAAAACCAAGTCGTATTTATCTTGTAAAGATCTAGAAAGGGTTATTAATGCCTTTGTTACCTCAAGACTGGATTACTGCAACGCTCTGTATGTGGGTATGGACCAGGCCTCAATTAGACGCCTGCAGCTAGTCCAAAACGCAGCTGCACGTCTTCTGACTGGCCACAAAAAGCGTCACCACATCACCCCAATTCTGGCCTCACTGCACTGGCTTCCAATTCGGTTCCGAATTGATTTTTACTCCTTTTATTTGTTTTTAAAGCACTAAATGGGCTGGCTCCAGCCTATATAGCTGAACTCCTCCAGCGCTACACCCCAGCCAGAGCTTTAAGGTCTGCTGACCAGCTGCTGCTGGTAGTGCCCAAGACCCTCCATGTGAGGTCGGCCCAGACCCTAGGGGTTTTTAAGTCAACACTTAAAACTCACTTCTTCTCTCTGGCCTTCTAGTCAGAGCGGAGCACGACTCCTGACATTTCCCTGTGTTTTTTATATTTCTGTTGTAAATGATTGTCTTTTATTGTGATTGTAGTAAAGTGTTTTTATTAGGGCTGTCAAGTTAACGCGTTAATAACGCGTTAACGCAAAAAATTAACGCCACTAATTATTTTAACGCGATTAACGCATGTGTATTTTTTGTCCTCGGCCGCCGTAGTTTCAGAGCGCATCAAGTTTAAAATACCATCTACAAGCTGATGCTGACAGCCCCGCTCCTGCTGCCCGCTTGTGGCAGACCACACTTCCACGCTCACCGGCAGGCCCGGACTGGCCATCGTGTTGTTGTTAGCATCTGGTGCTAGCTAGCTGAGCTAACGGATATAAGGAGCTGTTTCAATGAAAACAGAGGAGCGACATTTCGCCGACAACTGCGCCGAGCACTTGACTTTTTGCAGGTAGCCAGAGAGCACACTCAGCACGGATAGTGCCGCAACACAGCTCATACACACAGGCATATATGCCTTGAGCTGCACATAGCTCCAACGATCCTCCACATTCACACACACACACACACACACACACACACACACACACACACACACACACACACACACACACACACACACACACACACGTTCTTACACAAACAGAACGTCACAGATCAATGCGGCTCATTTGCCTAATCCTCCCTCAGGGACTTATTCTGGTGAGAACGCGATCTACTAGGACAGTTCCAGGGACTAAAGAGTTCGGGGGGAACTAAGTACCGGGGACAAGTACCGGCTAACTTAGTGTGAAAGCGGCTAATAATACATTAGCATCCTTATGTTTCTTCTCTTTCTTTCCAGACACACACACACTGCTTTTGGTGAGGCAGGCTCAGATGCCTTTTGATGAGACACAATTAGTAAATGAGTGGAAAACATCATTATTCGCACTCCATCTATTCACCCTGATATAAGAAGGGGAAGCAAGCTGTTACAGCAGTGAAGAACAGGTGGAAAAAGTATGTTCTTTTTCTTACTCTTAAGCATACAGTACATTGACCTCCCTCCAAACTTGCTGCAGCACCTCTTTTCACCCTCGTCGTTTACGTGCCTATATGACAGGAAAACCCAGACCACATTCTAGTCTGACAACTTTGAGCTGTACTCCGCCACTGGCCAGCTAAAGCACGAAAAAGGAACAGAAACCACCTATTTGCTTCGACCAGAGGCAAGCAAGAATCAAGCTTAAACTTTGAGAGACGACCACAACAAATGAAAGGTGAGAAAAACGAATGTTTGTGTATTGTTATACAGTACCGTGGGAATTTGAAAAGTAATCCGGATGTGATTTACATCTCTTCGTGGAGGTCCCTTTACTTTTTCTTTAGCTTTCTTCTCGTATCTTCCTGTCATTCTTTTTCATGTTGTGCTGCTCTGGGCTGCACTCTAGAAAAAACTGAAATGTAAATACTAGTATATACTGCAATATCTATTACAATGTGAAAAATAAAATGAAATGAAAAATAAATGGATGAAAAATAAAAAGGTCAAATTGTATCGAAAAAGCTATCTTTCAAAAACGAAACTGTATGTTTGGACTAAGTGTTTGTCTGAAACAGAGATTATAGGGACCTACAAAAAGGAAGTTAGTTTAACATAGTCTTAGTGTCTTAAGTAAGTAAAGCTGCGCGATAGATGTAGTGAAATCCAGACAAATATTTGCTTTCCACTATTTGCTTGCTTCACCGACGTCTTTCAGACCCTGCAGGTTGTTTTACCTGGTAGGCTTGGAACTTATGTGGTTGAAGTTAATAATTAACAGAAAGGGAAACCCCTTAGAGAAATGTCTGATAAAACCGATCACAGAACGATTGGTACGGATACAGATCTTTACCTTTGGCTGATGAAGTTCAATGGATCGGAACAGGTATGTAATGTTTCCAAATAGTATTTTGGGGTGATTAGACTAACTGCAGACTAAAAACTGCAGACTGAAAACTCATCTCTTTCCACTCCACTTCGAGCGATACAATCACTAACAAAGCACTTATATACTAACAAAGGACTGGCTTATCTAAAGCCTGTTGAGTAGCACTTGAAATGTTTTGGCTCTATGAAACCTGATGTACTTATATGATTCTGTTTTCTTCTAGTTTGTATCTTCTTGGTCGAATGCACTTATTGTAAGTCGCTTTGGATAAAAGCGTCAGCTAAATGCAATGTAATGTAATGTGATGTAATAATCATGGCCGAAATTATTCGTAAACAAGGAAGTAGCTTTCAGCGTGATAATCCAGAGGTTGTTCATAAGATTCATATTTTTCAGAATTAGCATTCTCAGAAAATGTATTGACAGAAAATAAATGTTAGTTATTTATTTAGGAAATATTTCCTGATTTTAGAAGTCACATCCTTTTAGGGAAAGTCTAATTTTACTTTGGGGAGTTTTGAAAGGTTTTTCTTTTATATCATATTATAATATATATAGTTATGTAGTTCTTTTAATGTTTCCTTTTTGTTTCTCTGATCTCTGCATTCTAGAGAAGAACTATAAGATGAATTGAACTACATCATTTGTTGTTACGTTTACAAACACAACATTTTTTAAATTTATTTTTAAGGATCAAGAGCGTTGACCAAAATATGCAGAGAGTCAGAGATTTAAAAAAAAAATGAATAGTTTAGTATCCCACAGTCAAATCTGTATGAGCACATTGTTCTTGTTACTTTCTATTTTCACTTTACTTTTCCACAGACGATATGGCTGCAATAAACTGATCAAGGTTCAGCTTTATGTCGTTAAACATTACAGGGTTTGAAGTTCAGTTTGTCTCCCTTCATGCACAGAACATGTTCAAACTAATATTTAAACATTCTGAATTATTATCGTAGAAAAGGGGAAGTCATGTTGTTGTTGTGCATTTGACATAAAACTCAAGAAAACGATCTCAGCCCATAAAGGAACACTTCCTCTTTGTAATCTTTCGGTGGGTGACTTTCTGATTTTAGCCTGTGCAGACCATTTACATGCACCAAAACCTTCATACAGATAAGGTTAATTGTATTAGTTGCTTATATTTATTTCCGAATTATCTGAATCTTCAAAGTAACTAATACTGTAACAGCAAACTAAAGAAATAAAAATGGAAATCTAACTTATACTAAAACTGCGTCTGGGTCACCAGTAAGCATATCTTACGCAGGTAAATATTGGGTATCACTTGACAATAAGACTACCCTGATAAAGGGTTTACGAATAGTTTGTAATTCATTTATTAATTAGGTTGTGAACACTTCATAAATCATTAATAAGCTTTTATAAGACATAAGATAAACAGGGCAACTGTGACCAGTTGATTGCCAAATAGTGAGCCCACATGTATCTGTACTGCTAAGCCTTATATTGGCTACCTAGCTTACTTCATCTTCTTCATCAGCCAGCATCCTTGGTATCTGTTGCTCACTAAGTTGATTCCCCCCCATCCATCTTGATGTTTTTGGCATCTCTTATGACCATCTATGAAGAATTACTAACATTTATAACTGCCAAAAGGGAGCCTTATTTTAAAGTGTAAAACACATTCCCATGTATTAATGAGTTACTAACATTTATAACTACTGAAAGGGTGCGTTGTTTTTAAGTTTAATACACATGTCCATTTATTAATGAGTTACTAACATTTATATTTCACCTTTCTTTATTGATTTTCACTTATATCAAAACAGAACAGGGCACATAAAAATGCAGATGTGTAATCATACAATTGAATTGAATTACATTTGTACCACAAATAAAAATGTCATTGCAGTACATATACTGTGTAAGCACATACACATAATATATATATACATATTCATACACACCCACAGATGCACTTAAAGAAATAAAATAAATAATACAATCCAATAAAATAAACAGTAAATTAAAAGGGAAGGGGGGGGGCTTCATGCAGTCAGATTGGCACAGGGGAGTTTGTTAAAATAGTCAAGGAAAGGCTGCCAGAGCTTGTAGTATTTGTTAACACATCCCTGGCTACGATACCTCAGCTCCTCCAGCTGCAAATGTGCCATCACATCCCTCACCCAGTGGGCATGAGATGGTGGAGTCCGGTCTTTCCATTTGAGGAGGATTAGACGGCGGGCAAGAAGGGTTGCAAACGCAAGTGAGTGTGACTGGCAATTAGAGAGGAGACCCCCTCAGGGGCTTCTCCAAACACAGCTATTATGGGATTTGGTTGTATGTTCTGGCCATACATCAATGAAAAAGTTTCAAATATAGAAGACCAAAATGGGGCAATGGACTGACAGGAGAAAAACATGTGCAATAGGGTAGCCGTGGCACAATGACACCTCTGGCATGTAGGATCAACATCAGGGTACAGCCTGGCAAGCCTGCTCCTGCACAGATGTAATCGATGGAACACTTTAAATTGAAGTACTCCATGCCTCACACAGACGGAGGATTTATGTATGTTCTCAGTCGCAGACCGCCAGGTCTCATCGGTTAGTTCTATGCCCATTTCTTCTTCCCAGGCACCCTTAAGGTGGTTAAGAGAAGGGCTAGAGATTTCTTGAATAATATTATATAGCTTTGAGATATAGCCTCCCTGACAAGGTTTAAGGCCCAGGCAGTCTTCCATCCATCCACCAGGTGGGGCGGCCGGGAAGGAGGGAAATTGTTTTCTTGTAAAATCGCGAATTTGTAAATATCTAAAATAATGATTCCTTGGGATGTCATATTCTTTAACTAAATGTTCAAAGGATGTGAATACCCCTTCGTAGAACAGATCAGCAACACACTTAAGTTCCTTCCGGGACCACAGGTGGAAAGCGGAGTCTATCAGGGCTGGTTTGAAAGCCGGATTGCGAACTATGGGGATGAAGGAGATAGTTTGTCTATATCCAAAATGCCTCCTGAACTGTGACCATATCCTAAGAGAGCTATTGACCACAGGGTTGTTCGAGTGATATTTTCTACTAAGTGGTAAAGGAGCACACATCAGGGAGGCAGGGGCCAGTGGTTCACACGAGTGTTGTTCCATGCTAGACCAAATAGGACCGCCCCCTTCCCGGAAATGACTCATCCAAAATGCCATTTTATGAATATTGGCAGCCCAGTAGTAGTGTAAAAAATTAGGCAGTGCAAGACCCCCCTCTGACTTTCTTTTCTCAAGAAATGCCTTACGCAGACGGGGAATTTTCTTATTCCAGATAAAAGTGGAAATATATTTGTCCAGGTCTTTAAAAAACTTTTTAGGGAGAAAAACAGGAATTGACTGAAAATAATACAGCATACGTGGCATAATAACCATTTTAATGGTGTTCACCCTGCCCGCCAACGAAATAGGGAGCGACGCCCAGCGCTTTAGGTCCTCATTAACCTTGTCCAGAGCTGGTTGCAGGTTCTTTTTAAACAGGGTTTTAAAGTCCTGTGTCACACACACTCCCAGGTAGGTGAAAGAGTCAATGGCCACTTTAAAGGGGAGTTCGCTAAATGAAAGCTTGGCCGCAGTCTCATTGATGGGGAAGAGTACACTCTTGGTCATGTTGACCTTATACCCAGACGCCTTCCCGAAAGAGGTGATTACATCGAGTGCAGCCGGAATGGACCTAAGCGGGTCGGAGCAGTACAGTAAAACATCGTCCGCATACAAAGACAGCTTATGCGTATAGCCTCCCCGCTCAATGCCTGTAAAATTTGACCGATTCCTGAGCGCAGCTGCTAACGGTTCTATGGCTATATCAAACAAGAGGGGGGACAGGGGGCATCCCTGCCTTGTGCCCCGTTGAAGCCGGAAGTATTTTGAAATTATATTATTAGTGCGAACTGCTGCCTGAGGTGCAGAGTAGAGGACCTTTATCCAGGAGATAAAGCATGGGCCGATGCCAAATTTAGCAAGAGTTGCAAATAGGTAGTCAAATTCAATGCGATCAAAGGCTTTGTGTGCGTCTAGAGAGATGAGGGCCTCTGGAGAGAGTCCTGGATTTGAGTAAATTATATTATATAGGCGCCGAAGATTCCCAAAAGACTGTCGGCCTTTTACAAACCCTGTTTGGTCCGGGTGGATGATTCTATGCAGAACAGTCTCAAGGCGCAGAGCTAAAGCTTTGGAGAGAATTTTGTTATCACAACAGACTAGACTTACTGGTCTGTAAGAGTCGCATTTTGCTGGATCTTTGCCCTTTTTAAGGATGACTGTTATCACCGCCTGAGCTAATGTGGGGGGCAGTGAACCCTGCTGGAGTGCCTCTGCATATACTTCGCGCAGCACAGGCGTC